TGCCAAGTGAGATTAGGACTCTTGAGACTCAGGTCCAATATTACATGAGGACTCATTCATTTCTGAATTGAGATCCCTTAGATGATTTCTCATCTAAGTCCATGTGTCTAATGCAGAATCCAGAATTAGTTATTTCTCAACAACTAAATCCTAACCAAACCTCTGACATTTGGCCAAAATGCAGATAATTTTAAACATAAAAAACATTAAACAACTGAGATATAAAAATTAAAACCAGGAAATCAAATATTTGACAAGCACTGAGGTTTGGGTATCACCTAAACCCAACCTCTAAAAAGTTAGCCACTATCCATATGGATGAGGCTTACACACAGTAACAGAGAACTACAGAAATCACAAAATAAAAATTCTAAAAACTAAAATTACAGCACTGGCCTAACAACCGGCAATCTCAGTGCTGTAAAGACATGCATCAAGTTCATCAAATGAACCAGAATCTCATTACAAAACAGAAATTAAAAGAAAATAAAAATTGTTCAGAAAACAAAAACTAAGAAAAACGATAAATCAGAAATCAGGAGTGGGAAGAAGGGGCCTGTTTGACTCACTCCTCTTTCCCTTTTTATAGGATTCCTTTCCTTCTTTGCGCGATTTTCCTCTCCAGCTCAGCAGGTATACACGCGCTCCTTGCGCGTTACACACCGGTGGTCCCCAACAGCTCCCTCCTCAGACAATCTAAATGGATTGTTGCTCCTTCACCCCGTACGTAAACTTGTGCCCAAAAATCGCTCAGCCTTACTCTCGAAAAGTATCCAGCTCACCACTCAGTAACGGTTTTCCTTTGTCCTTTTTCTAACTCAAGATAGTGGCTAGGTTCTGGTTGTTTGCGAAATTGTGCGGTTTGGTGTGTCAATCGGGTAGAAAGGGTGCAAACGATGGAGATGGGTTGCATGAGGGTTAGGGCTCGGTCAGAGAGAAAAGGCGTTAGGGTTTGCAAGTCTCAGTTTTTCTTTCTTTTTTTACGCTGCTGATTTGTGACAAGGCTGCTTGCTTTTCTTTCAACCTCTTCCTTTTCTTCAATTTGGGCCTCTGACTTGCCTTGTAAAAGAGTGGCCCAATCTGTTTCTTTTGCTCTCTTTTTTCTATTATTTCCTTTCTCTTTCCTTTACTTTTCTTTCTTTCCTTGGGCTGTATCACAAGTGGGCCTGAAGAATGCAAATAAAAACCCATTAGCACTTAAATCAGAATCATTCATCTTAATGCAATTTGGGGTATCTATTAACACAAAGTGTATTCTTTTTTTACATTTTCATATTAAAAACCATACATTGTAAGTATTATTTCATGGACTTATCAATTAATATCATGAAGCAAGTGCATCTTTTCAATCTGACGGCCAAGTTGGATAACGTTCATTATTTCAACTATGTCAAAGATGGCCAACTGATGACTCTGAATGACAAAGATGAAGAAGTTTTGGTGGACTTAGTTAGCGCAATGGATACAGAGACCATCGCGCCGTCCATTCCGGAGCCAACCCCGCAAGGGCCAAATATTGAAGGTGATGGTGTAGCTGCTAATGAAGATCCCCAGATGTCTATCCAAACAATTTGAATTTTATTTATTGATTAATTCAGGATCTTGTTTGTAAGGGGATTGTCCCATATTTTATCAAACAATGGCTAACATGGTAGTTTTTTGACAATCTGATTGCTAATGTTGTGTAAGTCGCGATGTCTTTACCTTATGTTTGAAATATATGAATTGTCTTGTTTCTGCATAAGGATGCTTTATGTCTTTATACTATGTATGTATCGTTTCGTAGAATGATTGTGGATATTTTTCTTTTAAGATATACCTTCCCTAAATGAATATCTAATTTAAAACCAAATTCTTTCAGCGTACTTTACCGTTATAAGACTTTTGGCACAATTGAAGAGGTAGCTTTGAAAGTTGATAACCTTCGAGGGTTATTACCCTTCTCATCCTTCTTCTCTTCTTTGCTGTGAGTCTTCGTCCTGTCATAACTGGAGGAAGTTTTATTAGCTTCATTTCATAATTGGAGGAAGTTTCATTATCTTCCTTTCATAATTGAAGGTCTTCATCGCGCTTTCATTATTGGAGGAAGTTTCATTATCTTCCTTTCAATATTGGAGGAATTTTCATTAGCTTCCTTTCCTAATTGGAGGAAGTTTTATTGGCTTCCTTTCATAGTTGGAGGAAGTTTCATTAGCTTCCTTTCAAAATTGGAGGAAGTTTTATTAGCTTCCTTTCATAAGGAGGACCTTTCATAATTGGAGGAAGTTTTATTATCTTCCTTTCAAAACTGGAGGAAGTTTCATTAGCTTCCTTTCAATTTCTTTATCGCGCTTTCATTATTGGAGGAAGTTTCATTATCTTCCTTTCAATGTTGGAGGAAGTTTCATTAGCTTCCTTTCATAGTTGGAGGAAGTTTTATTGGCTTCTGTTCTGTCTGAAAGACAGAGATGTCCAGCCGATGGCTGGTATATTTTATGTAGGATCTATGTTCCCTCTCTCAGGTATATGAATGAGATACCTTTGATGGTAGGTAGATCACTGTGCACAATAATAATCGACATAGTCAAGACGTGGGGTGTGTGCACAGTGACAAGCTAAGAGAGAGGGTTTTGAGAGTCTGTACCTTATTGGTTTAACCCCTTATTTATAGATGGGTTACCTGAAGGAATGTACTTCTGGGCCTCTTAGGAATATTGGGGGCCCAAGTCCAACTGCTTAGCTGTCTGGATAGGATTGTCATTAATAGGAGATTCTCTTCCTTTTGTGTTGTCCTTTATTGGTCCTTCTAGAATATGGGCTTTTGTCAGGTCCATAACAGCTTCCTTTCATTGTTGGAGGAGATTTCATTATCTTCCTTTCAATATTTGGAGGAAATTGTAACCGTCTTCCTTTTTATTAGAAGGAAGTATGTGTTATGCGCGATGAGTATAATAATCATGTATTGTATAAATATTCGCGATGAATGCAATAATCATATATAAATCAACAGTCTTTATTTGATGAATGAGAATTACAAATGTTAATATAGAGAAAGGTTTTAACGGTAGAATATTTTAAGTTTATCTGCATTCCATGTACGTGGAATGGTAAGTCCAGATAATGTCTCAATGACGTATGCACTTTTCTCAGTCTTGCTCTGGATGCGATACGGTCCTTCCCAATTTGCGACCAGTTTACCTTGGCGCGCATTTTTATTTCCAATATCTGCTCTTCTTAGGAGTAATTCTCCTATGTTGAAACTACGTTTAATAACTTTTGAGTTATAGCGCACTGTTATCCTTTGTTTCAGAGCTGCCTCCTTGACGTGAGCAATTTCGCGTATTTCATCAATTGCATCTAAATTATGCAGTAATGCCTGCGAATTGCCATCTTCATTTGTGTACATCCTTCTCCAGGATGGTTCACCAATTTCAACTAGGATCATTGCTTCACTCCCATAAACCATGTGAAATGGAGTTTCACCAGTAGTAGAATGTGGGGTGGTTCGGTAGCCCTATAATACGTAGTCCAATTGTTCCGGCCATTCTCCTTTAGCTGCTTCTAATCTTCTTTCTAATCCTCGTTTCAAGACTCTATTTGCGGCTTCTGCCAAACCGTTCGCCTGCGGATGTTCAACAGATGTATATCGAATGGCTCTAATTTTTTAGTAATGTGAGTCATTAGATACAAGTGGATCAATGGTTAAGATTGAGTGTAAGACTTCTAACTCTTACACCGGTGTAAGAATATCGTGCCATATATATATATATATATATATATATATATATATATATATATATATAGGGATAGGATCAACTTACACCGGTGTAAGAATAATAAATCTTACACGAAATCTTAACTGTTGATTTTCGTGCATCTAACGGTTGAGATTTATTGGGAATTAAAAATTAATTAATGAGTGAGACCTAATAAATCTTAACCGTAAGATGTAAAAAAATTAATGGTTAAGATTTGATTTAAGACTTATTATTCTTATACCGGTGTACGATGATCCTCCCCCATATATATATATATATATAGGATCTTTTTACACGGGTGTAAGACTAACAAGTCTTACACTGCATCTCAACCATTGATGGAGGGAAATCATCAGTTGGTATTTTTAGTGTAATTAATGATTAATTAATATTAATTAATTCATATGACTTCCTAAATTATAATCGTTGGATGTACGGAAATCAATGGTTGAGATATGGTGTAAGACTTATTAATCTTACACCGGTGTAAAATGATTCTGATCCTATATATATGGGATAGGATCAACTTACACCGGTGTAAGAATAATAAATCTTACACCAAATCTTAACCGTTGATTTCCGTGCATCCAACGGTTGAGATTTATTTGGAATTAAAAATTAATTAATGAGTGAGACCTAATAAATCTTAACCGTTAGATGCAGAAAATCAATGGTTAAAATTTGGTGTAAGACTTATTATTCTTACACCGGTGTAAAATGATCATGCCCCTATGTATATATATATATGTGTGTGTTGTAAAACCCATATTTTTTTTCTCTGTTTTCTCGTCTACACATTTTTATGTCAATAGAAAATAATTAAGATAAAATTATCTCCTACTATACAAGAAACATTGATCCAAAGGTGAAATCATTTTGCTCGTTATGCATTATGATTTGAACATTTGGGCTGAGCATCCCCCCTCGTCTATGATTTCGTTGATAAATGCTATTTCGCAAGTTAATCGAATTACCTTTTCAGATCGAATTCTTTTTAAACATGTAATAAAAAAGAGATTATTTTTTAAGAAATTAATTCAACTCCAAGTTACCATAATGTTATAGTGGTAGCGATCGGTAGATGGCGGCAGTGGACCGTGGATGCTTGTGCATGGAAGAAAGATAAGAGCGAGCAACGAATGCGTTACGTGATTTACCACATACGATAATAATAATCAATGGTGCACCACTGCACCTCAAGTCAAAGGATGCACCATAGATTTTCCTATCGTTTTAATTAGGCAAAACTAAGCAGAAACCAATGGAAGCTTTACTACAGAATTTCAAGAAGTTAGTGTCAAGAAAGCATTATATACGCATACAATATGTACTATCAACATAAAATTAAAACTATATATTACCTACAACTGAATTCCTAAGCCTCCAGATAAGCTCAAACTTATACACCATAAGCCCATTATTAGTTTTTCTGAATTTTATACACCATAAGCCTCCGTCATATGATACAGATGCTTTTTAATAGTAGCAGCATAGTCACCGAAAAGTTTGGCAGCCGGAGGATGCAGGCCAAAAACATATGAGAAAGGCCTTGATATCAACATTGGCTTCTTAGAGGGAGCTGCGTCATATAATGCCCCAAAGCTTGTTTCGTCAAAAGCAAACGACTCTTCAAGGATAAAGAAACAGTCTCTTCCCAAGTTTTCTACCTGAAACCACGACATAGCAATCAGTGAGATAACATATCACTATTGCCACCATCATAATGATTGGTTGCATGAGGAGTTCCGCATATATTCATTGACATCTACTTTCTCAGCACATATATATCAATTAAGTGACTATAATAGTCTCTAACGTGATAAATAACGCTATTATTTTGTGATCATTCAATAGTAAGAGCACAAGCAATCACCTGAAGTTGGGAAAATCTGATATTGTTCATGGTTATGATAACTTGCACCTCATACAGATCATCAGCCAAAATTCGAATGGCTAGATACTCAAAAAAGTTCCGCAAAGCCTGCTTTTGACCATCCAAATCTTCACCATAGCTATCAAGGCAAGGATACCACAGCACACATTGAACTTCATTCCAAGGAATAAGGGTCTGCCCTGCTTTGGAAATGATTGTTTGGTATGGGTGATATAGACCCCATAAAATTCTAACTCCTGCAAGTGATGATTCCGATATGGTTGTTTCTGCCAAACGTGAAGTTGAAATTATTTTGGATGGATCATAGCAGGAAGCAAGGCATGAAGAGAAATGCAAATCAGTGTCATCCAATATAAGAATTGATCTGTTGGTAGATTTGGGAAATAGACTTAGAAGAGATGCAGCATTCACGTCATTATCTTCTGGCAGGCAGACGTTTGAACTGAATGACACTGCTGATCGATCCATATCATGTGAATATAAACAAGACTCTCCATTTCGGCAACCCTGTTACGATGAATAATAGTCATAATCATATTAAAGTTAGCATCTTAATGAAGTCAAACTAACAAATTAATTACCTGCAAGGAAAAGAAGAATTTGCACTGGGGTCTCTTAGCTTGAAATGAGTGAGAAAATGAACATTTACTGCCTCTATTGCAGGATCCACGGATGAAATATACACAAGTAGAAGCCTCCCTATTGACAAGAAAATTATCAACGTCAACACCTTCAGGTCGATGAGCATCCTCTTGGTATTGAGCTCTTATCTGTTTCATACAATAAAGAAAAATCCGACCATTTTCAGAGAATGGAAAACCTTTTACAATAAATTGTATGGAGAAGAGATCCAAAGGACACTACCTCTTTTATAATTGCAGCAAACACTTTTGCCACATCGTAACTGTGAAAGTGATTTGATGTGACATATGGTACCGTAACACATTTTTTTGTTTCACTTGATGGTTCAAGGCCTTCCTCATCTCCAGCAACTACATCTATATGTCTATTTGGCTGACTTCTGAACAGGCATGTGTGTTTGAATTCATAAGGATCATAATAAGGTGGTGGGCCATGAAAAGAGCTCAAAAACTTTGGCCGGTAGCGATGTACTGAATTTAGCACATCATTATCTGAGATGTCAGAACTAAGGAGCATTACAAGATTGAAAATTTTAAAAGAAAACAGTAAAACAAATTCCACTAACAAAAATGTGATACACTTTCATCAAAAGAAAATCCAAGAGTACATAATCTGACATTAATATAACATAGATACATACAAATTTCCCACAGTTGATGAAGAGATGACCGGGAGAGATTATGTAAAGAACACCAATCTTCCTCATGCTTAGGCATCAGTTGTGTGGCAGGATATACATTATTAGTCCTCAGAACGTGCTTCAAATGTTCTAGCCGGTACTCATCCTGCGTATGACAGAAAATTTTCACCATCAAACTCATACAACCTCTACAGCTTACATACCACATAAACACAAAAGGCAAATCTTATTCCCAGGAAAGATGCGGCTACTTGCACCCACTCACTTGTGGGTATTCCTCACAAAAAGAAGAATACTGTTTGGTGAGCAATAAATAAAATTCTTTCAATGAAAAAGCATCATTTCACAAATTTTTTGTCTTCCACCTTTCACTAAGAAATCCTCAAGATACTGAATAATGACAATGTATTTGGTAGTACAAACAGCAAGGGCATACAACTTTACCCTGAAAACATGCTGCCAAAACTCAAAAGCACAAAAGTTAGCCACAAATTCCATCTCCTTTCGACCAGTTAAGATTGTTCGTTCACCATAATACCAACCAATGTACTTCCAAAACTGATGAAAATAAAAAGATTCAATTAGAAGATGATTCAGAGCAGTTGGAAATGGTAAAGCTGATTCAACTCAGAAATTACCAACTCTTCCTCTCCAAACGGATGAATAATGGGTAAAGGCTGTGTATCCATCATTACACCCAGCAGGATGCCCTCACGTAGCATACCAATGTCTCCAAACTTAAGGACTAGAACAGAAGTATCAATAGACAAAGGAAAACTAGCAAGTAATCGTCCATAAAATGTAGGTTCATGACGTCCCCTCGGAGGTGTCCTTTCCAGTGCATGTATCTGAACAAGCGAATTCAATGCATCTTCAACAACTTGAGGATCTGGTGGATCTAGAGCTTTTTGCAACAGAACTGCCATCAAACCCATCAGTCAGGGCAACATACTCATAATTGGTGTGAATTGGATGACCAAATATTTTGTCGAGAGTATAGTGCAGATAGTTAACTTGTTAAAACCAATACACATAAAGTTCCCTTCACAAACTCTAATTATACTCATAAAGGTGCTGTTGTTGTTGATGTTAATAAAACCCAGGCCTTACACATTATACTTATTGTGAAGGTACTCATTAATGGGGTTCTTAGATGTAAAAAATAAGTTTAAACACGGATTTCAAGTCAAATTGACAGCCTCTTCCTATATTTTTGTAATGTCCACAATTACTAAGAGAGATCATAGTTACATTTATTATTTATACAAATAAACATTAATAGTAACATCATTTTCTACCCAAAAATAGGATCATATTAACTTACCATTGGGATCATTGATAGCCTTAGATCTAGCACAGCACATCAAAAGAACTTGCAGCCTCAATGATAATTTAAGAATAGCTGGACTCTCATGATCCTCAAGCTTGTTGAAAAACGATCCAGTAACCAACCTATAAACTTGGCCATCACAAGTTCGACCAGTTCTTCCTCTACGCTGTTCAGCCTACAAAATCATATGAAACTAAGAAAAATGTAAGAATAAAACAACATGAAGGAATAAGAAAATTTGTACCTGAGACTTGGAAACCCAAACCAGCTTTGTAAATTCCTTTTTCCGGGACTTGTCCCAATACACTTGTAATGATCGGCACGAATCAATGACAAAAGCCAATTTAGGTATTGTCACAGAAGATTCAGCAATATTGGTAGCCAATATTACCTGACAGACAGCAACATCAACCGTAGATTTTGAATAATTATAGTAGAAATTATATCTTTCAGAAATAATTTTAGATGAAAAAAATCCACTGAAAGTAAAAAATTTCTACGCTGCCAGAGGTAATTAAAAGAAACATCAAGGGACAAATACAGTAAAGACAAATTATACATACATATAAATTAAATTACATAACACAATTAATATTGGATATTTAGAAAGTGAAAACAATTGCTGTGACATTTAATTTACAATACAATAAAACTAATAAATTTCTGCAGCATATAAATGTTCACAAGATAACAGCCAAATTTGCACAATTAAAATTTACCATAAACAGAAAAGAAAAATCCAGTTAAAATCAAGTTGTGATTCATACATTAAAAATGTATAACCTTAGCAACATATAATTTTATAACAATAAGCTATACACATGTCCCTCCATAGTCTAAATAACCTCCTACTATTAACTGCACAACTGGCTGAGTTAACTAACATCTACCTTTCGATGTGACCTACAAATCTTCATAGCCATGAGAGCTTGTTCAGTATCAATGCTACGATGTAAGATATGAACTTCAAAAGTTGATTCAAGTGGCTTCAGAAGGCGCCATTGTTGCTCCAATGAATAGTAGGTTGGAAGGAAAACCAGAATGCTTTTCTCGATATCTGGCTCATTCTCATGGATATGAAACACCAGATCATGAATAAGCTGGTGCATTTCAGACTTAATGGAAACATTGGCTGTGGAAGGATCTAGATCACGAGAATATGTTGAACGCATTAATTCAGAACTTATCCCAAGAGATTGAGCTACCTGTGCAAATAACAGTAGCACTATCATCACTGTTATCATATCCATGAAATGTGTTTCAGAAATAAATAAATGTGAGGGGCATATTGAACAGCATATATCATACATAATAATCTACGACAGAAAAGACTTCTATTCTTTCACTTATACTGCAGCACTCTAAATTGTTTTCTGTAGTTTTACTTTTGTCTGAACATATTAGTATGGACATGGTCTCCAGCCTCTTTTTTAGAAAAAAGCACATCGGTCTTCCAAAGCTCCCATAGTCCCATCAACTAGCTAATAACACGCAACCAGCCAACTTATAAATGTACATCAACTAAAGCTGCTATGCACCAAACAAAGTTTAGTAACATTCCAAGGTCAAAACAATATAGAGATGCTAAAAACTTTTGGTACTTTACTTTTGCGTATACAGAAAATATTGTTGATTAAATACTAAAGAGTATAATCCTAAATAGATTCATGACAGCATGTAACTCACACAGAAACTGAATCCTCTTACTTGGTGGGTAATTTTGCAAAGAACAACTGGCTTTCATATGCAGGATATAAGGAAGTATATGGATCGTGAACGTTTCAAATGTCCATTTGTTTTGTGCCCCGAAATTTTTTTTGAAGGTGCAGCATAAATTTAAAACCATTCAATATAAGTGTGAAAATACTTGATTCACCAATGAATAGGTTACAACATATATGCACATTACATGTGGGGAAAATAAGGAAACCAAATCAATCCTAGTTAATTTAATTAAGGGTACAACGAAACGGATCCTAATTGATCATAACTGATTCCCATAAATCAGGCAATTGATGGTATCCCTAATATATGGAAATAAATATAATATTTTGATTTTCTACAATAAGTAACATATTTAAGATATACAAAACTAGTATTGAGATGGGATGCAATTAAAAAGAAGAAATTTTTTGGCTGAGTAATATGCATGCCTGCTCAATATATGAAACACTTCGCTGAAAAACAATTTTCTGATTTGAGCTAGGAATCGCAAGTACTTCAACTCGTTCGCCTCTGCCAAGATCCCTAAAGTAATCCCTGTATCTAGAAATATCAGCAGTTGCAGACATCAAAACCACCCTGCAAAATCATACAAATATTAGATCCACAGAGCAACTATTTCCCTCCTACATTAAAATGAGAGACAGTGCTTTCAACCAAGTCCAGCCTAGCAGTCAGGGATCAGAAGTAAATAGAGTTTCTCAACTTGGGTCCTCTTAATAGGTAGATAATTGGAAATATGTAGTGAAGTCTTTTAAAACTAAAGGAACCGATAGCAGTGCAATTAAACAAACAATTATATATCCTTCTCCTGATCTTGAAATATACAAATAATTTCTTTCAAATATTCATATTAAACAATGTTTGATTAACTCTTCCCAGCTTGAAGAGAATCTCAAACAAGATAAATAAATGAACGGAATGAGAATCAATCTAGAAAATGATAGGTTTGCCACATATCAGTACCATAAGAAATTCCGCTGAACACTTATGAAACCAAGATGCTAACCTTAGTTCATTGTTCTTTAACAAAAACTGCTTCACACAAACAAGGACGAGATCAGACTCCACTGATCTTTCATGTACTTCATCAAGAATAACAGCCTTGTACTTCAGTGCAGTTAAGCCCTTCTCTCGCAGTTCATCCAACAACACTCCAGCAGTTTTAAAAACAATCTTTGAACTGTAGTACGGAGATGTAAATGCATGGAGAAAAAAGTTAAGCATGAGCTTCCGATGCACAATCTAAACAAGATAATTATAAGAATCATACAAATAAAAGATAAGTGCCACATCACTTCCTTAAAAAGGTTTCCCTGCGACAAATGACAACATAGTCAACTTCTTTATATCATGTAAATCAACATTATCTTTACCCCAAAGACTCAAATTAATTGGGGTTAGCAGTTGATGAACCCAAATAAAAGCATGAACAGGTTAAGGGAAGGAATAATAAATAAGAAAAATCACACTCACACACACATATACATATATATAATATATATATATATATATATTATGTATATGTATATGTATATGTGTGTGTGTGTGCGTGCGTGAGAAATAAAAAAATAAATGTACTATTGTCGTAAGGTGAAACTTGTCTCTCAGTATGATATATCGCTATTAACACCCTTGTCAAACAAAACTTCTTTAACTTAAAAGAAATATACGTTAAGAAAAGATGAAAGCCAAATTTCTTCCTTAAAATACTTCTCTGAGACAAATGACAATGAATTCAACTGTTAACTTTGTTATATCAAGAAAATGTTAATAATTAGTATACTATTTTAATAAACATGCATGTTAGTAATGATATTGGATAATAATATTCTATTATTTTCAAACAAGGTGTCCTCCACAGTAAATAGTGATGACTGACAAGGCCTCTTACAAATTCGATCAAAATTTAATCTCAGTAAAATATATATATGTATATGTATATGTGTGCGTGTGCGTGCGCGCGTGAGAAATAAAAAAATAAATGTACTATTGTTGTAAGGTGAAACTTGTCTCTCAGTATGATATATCGCTATTAACACCCTTGTCAAACAAAACTTCTTTAACTTAAAAGAAATATACATTAAGAAAAGATGAAAGCCAAATTTCTTCCTTAAAATGACTTCTCTGAGACAAATGACAACGAATTCAACTGTTAACTTTGTTATATCAAGAAAATGTTAATAATTAGTATAATATTTTAATAAACATGCATGTTAGTAATGATATTGGATAATAATATTCTATTATTTTCAAACAAGGTGTCCTCCACAGTAAATAGTGATGACTGACAAGGCCTCTTACAAATTCGATCAAAATTTAATCTCAGTAAAATATATATATGTATATGTATGTGTGTGTGTGTGCGTGCGTGCGCGAGAAATAAAAAAATAAATGTACTATTGTTGTAAGGTGAAACTTGTCTCTCAGTATGATATATCGCTATTAACACCCTTGTCAAACAAAACTTCTTTTAACTTAAAAGAAATATACATTAAGAAAAGATGAAAGCCAAATTTCTTCCTTAAAATGACTTCTCTGAGACAAATGACAATGAATTCAACTGTTAACTTTGTTATATCAAGAAAATGTTAATAATTAGTATACTATTTTAATAAACATGCATGTTAGTAATGATATTGGATAATAATATTCTATTATTTTCAAACAAGGTGTCCTCCACAGTAAATAGTGATGACTGACAAGGCCTCTTACAAATTCGATCAAAATTTAATCTCAGTAAAATATATATATATGTATATGTATATGTGTGTGTGCGTGTGCGTGTGCGTGCGTGCGAAATAAAAAAATAAATGTACTATTGTTTTAAGGTGAAACTTGTCTCTCAGTATGATATATCACTATTAACACCCTTGTCAAACAAAACTTCTTTAACTTAAAAGAAATATACATTAAGAAAAGATGAAAGCCAAATTTCTTCCTTAAAATGACTTCTCTGAGACAAATGACAATGAATTCAACTGTTAACTTTGTTATATCAAGAAAATGTTAATAATTAGTATACTATTTTAATAAACATGCATGTTAGTAATGATATTGGATAATAATATTCTATTTATTTTCAAACAAGGTGTCCTCCACAGTAAATAGTGATGACTGACAAGGCCTCTTACAAATTCGACCAAAATTTAATCTCAGTAAAATATATATATGTATATGTATATGTGTGCGTGTGCGTGTGCGTGTGCGTGCGGGCGCGCGAGAAATAAAAAAATAAATGTACTATTGTTGTAAGGTGAAACTTGTCTCTCAGTATGATATATCGCTATTAACACCCTTGTCAAACAAAACTTCTTTAACTTAAAAGAAATATACATTAAGAAAAGATGAAAGCCAAATTTCTTCCTTAAAATGACTTCTCTGAGACAAATGACAATGCATTCAACTGTTAACTTTGTTATATCAAGAAAATGTTAATAATTAGTATACTATTTTAATAAACATGCATGTTAGTAATGATATTGGATAATAATATTCTATTTATTTTCAAACAAGGTGTCCTCCACAGTAAATAGTGATGACTGACAAGGCCTCTTACAAATTCGACCAAAATTTAATCTCAGTAAAATATATATATGTATATGTATATGTGTGCGTGTGCGTGCGGGCGCGCGAGAAATAAAAAAATAAATGTACTATTGTTGTAAGGTGAAACTTGTCTCTCAGTATGATATATCGCTATTAACACCCTTGTCAAACAAAACTTCTTTAACTTAAAAGAAATATACATTAAGAAAAGATGAAAGCCAAATTTCTTCCTTAAAATGACTTCTCTGAGACAAATGACAATGAATTCAACTGTTAACTTTGTTATATCAAGAAAATGTTAATAATTAGTATACTATTTTAATAAACATGCATGTTAGTAATGATATTGGATAATAATATTCTATTTATTTTCAAACAAGGTGTCCTCCACAGTAAATAGTGATGACTGACAAGGCCTCTTACAAATTAGATCAAAATTTAATCTCAGTAAAATATAAGCCTTTGCATCTACAATAGAAATGAAGAAACAAGACCAAAGATGGAAGAAGTGATCAAATAACTATCACACACAAAAATATTGTTAAGGAAATAAATATGAACAGGTTTAAGTTAATGTGTGTCTGGAATACCCTGCTGAGAAGTGCCTTGAATGTCCAATATGATATCCAACTTCTTCTCCCAATTCACAATTTCGAGCTTTTGCAACCATTTTCGCAACAGCAACGACAGCAAATCTCCTAGGCTGTGTGCACAGAATGGGTGACATGTTTTCTTCCAGAAGAAACTGTGGAACTTGTGAACTTTTTCCTTGAGAAGAAAGGAAGCAGATCCATCAGCAACATGGTAAGAATAAATCAACAACTAATGCATGAAGTGGACCTATTCCTTATAATTGGCAATTCTAACATACCATAAATGTTAGCCAAAATTAAGACAGGTAATTTTCATTATATAATGCATGGAAGTGTACAAGAGGGACAACTAACAATCCTGCACAACCATTTAGCTGAACTTGGCCAAGATAGATGGAGGATGAAGGCATAGAGCATAGTTCATAAAGGTTGTAAAAGGTCCACTATCTTCCAAGTTTTTATATTGCTCTCATATAAAAAAAAACCCACTCTCCGTTAAACCCGACTAGCGAGTGTGAGTGGAGGCAATCCTTGTACGCAGTTTTACCCTTGCATAATTACAAAGAGGTTGTTTTCTAGATTCAAACCCATGACCTTTCAGTCATGAAAGAACAACTTTACTACTGCTCCGGTTCGCCCCTTTTTTATATTGCTCTCATATATTCAAGTAATTTTCCTTTTTCTTTTATTTTAAATTTTTAATGTTTATGTCTACAGATCTAAAGAGGGCAAGCCCACAGTAGTGATAAAACTGCTTCGTTGTGACTTAAAGGTCACGAGTTTTAGGAAATATCCTCTTTTGATATATACAAAGGTAATGCTGTGTATAAAGATTGTCCTCACACTTACCATAGCTCATCTGAATTTAATGAGGAGTGATTTTTTATTTTTATTTTACATCGATTTCAAAGGTTTTAGGTAACTTCTTGGTTGACATGACATCATATCCAATAATTTATAGCAATAATAATCATGTTCATGGTAACTGCAAATATTTGGTTTTATCCACAGTATTTGAAGAGTAGATAACAAGTCTATGGAAGCTACCAAATTAGTATATGTTAAGACCAAAGTACTAAAATTTAGCATAATTATTGTTTATAAATACAATGATAAAATGCAGAATGAAAATCCAATAATTATCATTTTTTAATGTAATTTAGTGAAAATATGTATAGTTGAATTGGTAATAAAAAAAAAAAAAATACAAGAATGGTTGGACTTGTAGTTGATTTTTCTTGCAAATAGAAAACTTATACACTAGCAAAAGTAACAACAATTCGAAAGTGATTTTCCGAGTTCTTTGATGAGTTAAGCTGAATTTTCATTTCATAAATGCCTAAAATTCTCTCTTCAATAAAGCTAGCGTTTGGCTCAGCTTCATTTTTATTTTTTTGGTTTACTCCTCAGTTTATTGGCTTACAAAAATCAACGATCGCAAGTGAGATTATTCAAAACTAATCAACACCAAAAGGATACGAGACATTAGATTACATGAACACGAAAAATACATAAGAATAGCAAGTACTAAATTTTCAGGCAGTACTTTTCGGTGATGTCATCGTCCAGACAAGGTAAAAGATCCAGCAATATACTCAATGCAGGTAGAACGTAAAATCAAATATAGTCATGCAATAAAAAGGAGTTAAGAAATCAAACCAAAAACCAAAATAAATTAATTAATTAAAAAAAATGCACAGTTAAGAATGCTTTACCGCAGCCGGTCTCGCCGACGATGAGCGTGACGCGATTTTCTTGAATCTTCTCGACGATCTTCTTCCTGAGAGACATCACAGGTAGGTGGGAGAAATTCGACTGCGAAAATGAGGAAGAGCTGGACGAGATACGTGAATGAGGTGAATTAGATGGAGACGACGACGACGACGCCATTCTCAGAATTCAGTAACCGTCACACACTCTGCGTTTTTGATTTGGTGAAGAAGACGTATGCACTGACTCTGTGAGAAGCACGGAGGGTGTAGTGACTGTGGTACAGTTACACGTCACAGCCCTGACATTTTAAAAGAGGAGAGAGGTGATGGTTCAGGTGAGCTCGATTGAGGGGTTGACTGCAAGTCAATGAATTTTCTTTTTTAGGCTCCTCTTTTAACCAATCATTGCGCTGGTTTGGGAGTAGATACAATGTGCGCGAAGTACGCGGAAGCTCTCCATAATACTTACCTAGCAAGTTTTATGGAAAATAAGGAGAAAAGAAATAAAAAGGTGATTGTTTCTCCTTGCTCGGCAAGTTGGCAACTGCAAAATCGAATCGGGTCGTGGGTTCGGATCACAGCACATTTTCGGGTGAATCAGCATTTCGCTGGGCCAATAACTAGAAAACTTTCTCTGTAAATATTCCATTTTTGATTTATCAAATTAATATTTTAAATTTAATTCAATAGTATATATAATTACGTTGTTTTTTTATTTTCAATTTTAATAGACTGAGAGTTTCAATAGCACAACTAACAATAAATTGATAAATAAATGTCACAAATTGAGTTTTTCATACACATGGTAATAATCATATCATTGAGGTTGTCTTGTTGGACCAATGAAATTAGAACTCATCTTAACGTCTTATATATCTTGTTAATCTTTGAGATTCTTATTATGCAAATGGATATACAAATTTATTTATATATTTTAATGGGAAATATTTTCTGCATTTGTGGTATAAATTTGGTATCTGTCATATAGAGAAAAAAAAATAGGGTTCATTAATTACCATATTCTTTTTTTTATGAGTTTCTCTTTCTCTTTTTTTTTTTTCTCCATGTGGCAGATAAAAAATTTCTCCTACAATGCAGAAAACATTTTTTCATATTTTAAATATTGTTTTTTAATTTTGACATTTACATTAGGTTTCACATCAAGTTTAATTTCTCGCGTTTTATCTCGTTCAACTATGAGTAAAATACGGAGAAATCTCAATAAAGTAGAGAAAAAATTTGAATTGGCATCTATTATTCTATGATGATATCAATCGAAATATAAATGCAGGATGATACTTACATATACATATATTTTTTTATCACACGTGCATCTTGGACTGAGTGCAAAGAGAGGTTAAGTCTTGATATTTTCTTGTCCGTACAATCATTAATCTCCGATACATAATCTTGGACCGAAAAGAAATAAATTATGTTCAAAAAAAAAAAATTCACTTTAAAACAAATTCTATATACCGAAGTAAAGTATCCCTTAAAGTTAGATACATATTGTTAATTTTCTATTCTTGGAAAGATAAAATGTTATTGTTTTCATACATATGTAATGAAACCAAGGTGTGCTGGTGACTATATATAATTATGTTTGGGAGGGGTTATTGACTTTTACACCAAAAGCTTTTAAACGGAGGTTATATATTGTAATTACTTTTGAATTTTTCAATCTAACTCGGATACAACACTTTGACATTATTCAATATTCTTTTAAGTTAACATTTTTCCCTGATTATAATTAGTAATAAAAAAGAGGTATGCCATTTTTGTAATTGGAGTTGAAGCTGGCCGGTTTAAGCCGGGAAATCAGTGATCGGATCCATCTTGGTGCGATCAACACTAAGTATTGAAATTTGAAAGTGTGTAATGGAGAGAGATCAGAGATGGCTTTAGGGTGGGGAATAACAAGGAACAAAGGTAGGTGCTACGATTTCTGGATAGACTTCAGGGAGTGCAAGTCACGCTGCCGTGAGCCCAACGGCTGTTCTCTTCTCCGTGAAGACTACCTCGAGTGCCTCCACCATTCCAAAGAGGTCAACCCCTTCCTCCAATCCCACACTCTCTCTTTTTTTCTTTTTTTTAACATCTTGAAATAGAGTATATCAGGTTCTTGAGATATATAGTCTAACATTGGTGGTATGAGTAACTAATGTTTTATAAGGACTTAGACACTCTCATCCTTTGAGCTAGTTTTGGGGTGGTATATTCCAAGGTTCTTTACATGGTATCAGAGCTTGAGTGACTACAAGGTCACAAGTTCGATCCTCACCACCTCCCACTTTAAAGTGGAATTAAAAATAAAAAAAAAGCACAAAAGGTAAACCAAACCAAAAAATTGGGCCTGTGCAATTTCCACGCTTCTATAGCCTAAAGGGCTCTTGCGTGAGGGGGGCATGTTGAGATATATAGTCTCACATTGGTTGTATGAACAACTAATGTGGAGTTTATAAGAACTTGGGCACTCTCACCCTATCCCATATAGATTGTGACTTGAATCAGATCAATTCTTTTTTGAATCTTTATTCGTGCAATTCCCTCGACGCCGGAAGAAATTCTTGTATTTTTTTCTATAAAATTCGTGATACAATCTCGTATTTTTTTACCTTATTGTAGATTCTCCATCATCTTTCTTTGGCTTAGTGGCATGTATTTCCACTGTGCTCGTTTTTCCAATTATGAAGCGTGGCTAAGCGATCCTACTCATATTCGACCTAGTGCCCAGGTGGTTTGGCCAATAGTGGACCAAGAAATATTGAATGGTGATGTAGGTGAGGGTTTCCGAGGAATACAAATAACCTCCGGAGGGTCAATCTACGTCTGGTCCGAGGAAACCTTTAGCTTTTGGAGTGGTGTATCTCAAGGTTCTTTACGAACATCGCTAAATAAATATCACTATCTTCCTTTGATTCATTATAGCCTTAACATTCCATTGAAATTGTTTATAAATCTATCTTTTTTTTTGTGGTCTTGGGATATTTGAGCTGCAAATGTTCTCTACATTACAATTTAATTAATCAACCTACTGATTTTGTGCTTTTTTGAAACGTATGGAATTTGTTATCACCTGCTTGTTGATATCTTTGTAGTTGATTGCTACACACACATTAAAGAACTTAAGCTATATATTTCTCTAACACGCCACCTCACACAAAAATTCATTGGACTTGAAGGGTAGATAATGCATTAGGTCCAACTTAAGAAACTCCCAAAAACTTAATTAATTATTAATTAAAATAGAGACGGTGAGGATCGAACTCGTGACACCAAAACTCTAATATCATATAAAAAATCAATTCAACCCAAAAACTTAATTATTAATTGAGGCTACATTAATGATTGATATTATTCTCTATCACACAAATTAGTTCATGGCATGTTTGGACTTTGAATTGTTGATAGAAAGGAATAGAGAACTCTATATCAAAATTGCTCAAGCTAGGAATATCACTTCTTAGATATAATTTGCTTGCAGTTACTCAAAGTAGCATAAATAATGTGAATTGTTCATTTAATTCTTATCCTGGGAACTCACAATATCCGCACCGCTTTTTAAAATGTGCACACTTCCCTTCCTTGTTAGTATCCACCTCATAAAGTGAAGACAAATGCAGTGTTGTGGAAATATAACTGAAAGGGGAAAAATTCCTCTTAACTGAGTTTGTCTCTAAAGTGTCTATTCACCCTTGATTTAATTTAAAGTACATCTTGATCTTAACCCATTAAAATTCAAAGTTAGGTTTACCTTTACCTGTGTACTTTGGAGACAGTAGGAGCTTTATCTAACTGAAACCTCTGTTATCTGATTTGTTATGGGGAATTTCTTATACATAAACCCTTATTATTGTATGCTAAATGATATATGATTGCATTAAAACACGGTTATCTTAAAACCTCTGTTGTGGAATATCATTTTAGAATTTTTTTTTAAAGAAACGGACAGAAATTAATCTAAAATTAATCAATTTTTTTTTTTTAAAGAAACAGACAGAAATTAATCTAAAATTAATCATGTTTGATTTTTTATTATTAATTTATTATCGTTCAAACCCATTTTGATGCATTCCTAAAGGTGCAAAGAAACATTTTGTGTTCAGGTATAAGCTTTTCTCTCTGTCTGTGACACTAAAAAATATTTATATTTTGAAAATATATGTGCATTTAATTACATTTGAATAACACATATCCATTCTGTTAATTGGAGACTAGAAACAAAACAAATTTTGTAGTTATCTTTACTTTGAATTTGTTTTTTTTAATATAGTCTAGGTATGTATATTGTCTAATAGCAGTTTAATAAAGGTGCGAAGTGGTACAGTGGGACAGGTAATTTGTAAAATGGGAGGGTATGTAACATTTTCTTTTCCAAGTGAAATCTCCAAATATATAAAAGAGTGAAAAAGTTCTTTCATTGTTCTCCATTCAAACAATTTTTGTATTTTTTTTAATATCACAATAAATAATAATACAAATAATCTAATAATAAATATAGAATAATATACAACATATAGTTATGCATATGCTATCTTTATGTATTACTAATTTCTTTGCATAAAAATGAATTTTTTCCCCTCCACCCACTATTTGTCCTACTTTTTCCTCTCTCAAAAAGATGAGAAGATATACTGAGTAAAGCCCATCTAGTGATATTGTACCTTTAGGTGCTGTTTGGCTCGCGGCTTTTTACAGTTTTTCTATGCAAATGTAATAAGGAATCTTGAAATGTCTTGTTTGGTTTAGGGTGATTTACTCAGAAAGTCATCCATCCAATTTGCATTGGTTTTTAAATTTTGGAACGGGATGACAACTTTCTTTACTATTTCGAAAGCGTTTTGGAAGGTGGGTTTTTGTTAAAAGCTGGGTAAACAACTGTTCACTCAAATTTTTCACACCCATTATACCCTCTGAAAAGGCAAGAGAGTGATAGGATTTTTGCTTGCTTGTGTGGTCAGCAGCTTAGGGCGTGAGTAGATTCTGATCAATTTTTATACAGCCATGGTTCTCATTGTTCATCCGCTTTCTTTCGTTACGCTCCCAGGTCGGTTCTGATCACTAACGTCTATTGGTTGCTCGTGTCTTCTTTGTATGCTTTAATCTCACTGTTGAACACGGCCTCGACGTTCCCCTTGCTTGCAGAGCGGAACCCTTGACGAAGAACAAGCCCACACACATAGATATTTTTTCCCCTTTCTTTTTTATGGTCGCTGGATAGAGTCAATTTTTTCACATTGAGGACATTGGGATTTGACAGCTGTGGGGTACCATGCCACCGAAATAAAACATTTAAAATCAGGGTTATTTTTGTAATTTAAGATTGTTTTCTCATCTATATATTACCTCCAACCAAACATACATTTCTTAAAAGTTACCTAATTTTCCCAGTAAAGTTTTTCCCCACCAAACTACTTTTTTTAACATTTTCCTATCTATCTCACTTTATCTCACTTTCTTATCATTCTCCTATCAATTCTATTTCTCTAATATTCAAAAAATTTATCCTCGACCAAACGCCCCCTTATAGTACTTGTTTCCCTTGCGTCATGAGCCATATTTTGGCCTTTTGACCCATCTCCAAATTCATGTTATGTTATTATGTTGGTTTCAGTATTAGACTTTAAATGGGTGTTTCAAGACTTTAACAAATTTTGTTTCCATTAAATCTTAAAACTATTGTGTATTACTTTGTTTCTATATTCATTTTGTGTATTACTTTGCTCCAGATGGCCAGAATCATGAAAAAATATATGTATTGTTTCACACTGCGTATGTAAATTTTGTGATATGGTGATAATTTGAGTAGAAAATATTAACCCCTTTTATTTTCACGAATTATTGATATTGATAGCTATAACCGCTTTTGGTCTCAAATCTTTGGGGTTTCTTTTTCCAATAAACGTTGGTTACATTTCTTTGCCCGACTTATCAATTTATCTGGTAAACTACTAGGTGCCCATGTAGCCCATGCCGGATTAATAGTATTCTGGGCTGGGGCAATGAACCTATTTGAAGTGGCTCATTTCGTACCCGAGAAGCCCATGTATGAACAGGGCTTAATTTTACTTCCCCATCTAGCTACTCTAGGTTGGGGGGTAGGTCCCGGGGGGGAAGTTATAGACACCTTTCCATACTTTGTGTCTGGAGTACTTCACTTAATTTCTTCTGCAGTATTGGGCTTTGGCTTTTCCATTCTTCGGTTATGTATGGAAAGATAGAAATAAAATGACTACCATTTTGGGTATTCACTTAATCTTATTAGGTATAGGTGCTTTTCTTCTAGTATTCAAGGCTCTGTATTTTGGGGGTATATATGATACCTGGGCTCCAGGGGGGGGAGATGTAAGAAAAATTACCAACTTAACCCTTACTCCAAGTATTATATTTGGTTATTTATTAAAATCACCTTTTGGAGGCGAGGGTTGGATTGTTAGTGTGGACGATTTGGAAGATATAATTGGAGGGCATGTATGGTTGGGTTCCATTTGTATACTTGGTGGAATCTGGCATATCTTAACCAAACCCTTTGCATGGGCTCGGCGTGCACTTGTATGGTCTGGAGAAGCTTACTTGTCTTATAGTTTAGGTGCTTTATCTGTTTTTGGTTTTATTGCTTGTTGCTTTGTCTGGTTTAATAATACCGCGTATCCTAGTGAGTTTTACGGACCCACCGGACCTGAAGCTTCTCAAGCTCAAGCATTTACTTTTCTAGTTAGAGACCAACGTCTTGGGGCTAACGTAGGATCTGCTCAGGGACCTACCGGTTTAGGTAAATATCTAATGCGTTCCCCGACCGGAGAGGTTATTTTTGGTGGAGAAACTATGCGGTTTTGGGATTTGCGTGCTCCCTGGTTAGAACCTCTAAGGGGTCCGAATGGTTTGGACTTGAGTAGACTAAAAAGGGACATACAGCCTTGGCAAGAACGACGTTCCGCGGAATATATGACTCACGCTCCTTTAGGTTCTTTAAATTCCGTGGGTGGCGTAGCTACAGAGATCAATGCAGTCAATTATGTCTCTCCCAGAAGTTGGTTAGCTACTTCTCATTTTGTTCTAGGATTCTTCCTATTCGTAGGTCATTTATGGCACGCGGGAAGAGCCCGCGCAGCTGCGGCAGGATTTGAAAAAGGAATTGATCGAGATTTTGAACCCGTTCTTTCCATGACACCTCTTAATTGAAACATGAAATCTAGTGTTGGAACTAGGAATTTTTTGAATTTCACCATACGCATTGAATTGAGTCAAGAAGGTAGGTCATATTGAAAAAGTCTTTTCTTTTCTCTTTTTTCAACTCATTTATATCTATTATCTAATCTTTTTGGGGGCTCGGCTAAATGGTGGTATGTATAGCCGAGCCCCCAAAAACCGAGCTAACCAAAAAAAAAAAAAAGAATAAAAAATACATTCGCCGAGTAAAAGGAGAGAGAGGGATTCGAACCCTCGATAGTTCTTTGTTTTGAACTATACCGGTTTTCAAGACCGGAGCTATCAACCACTCAGCCACCTCTCCAAAAGATAATTTCTATTTTATCTTTATTCCACTGAATAGAACATGACCATATCTATGATATCTCTATTCTCTATCTATGGTAAAGATATCAGATGTGAATTTTTTGGTCTAGTTTTCTATCTGTATATCTATATATACATACATCTAGATGCGGTATCTAGCATGCGAGTAAAAAAAACCCTTGATCCATGCCCCCAAAGACCAAAGAAAGAAAGGGGTAGTAATAAGTCATATAAAACAAGTGGATTCATGATAAAACCCCACAATGTTCGGTTTTTTATTACCCATTTTTTTTTAGGGGATACAGGGTTTTTTTTGGGGGGGGGTCAAATGGTATAGTTCTTTTGTTGGTAAATTAGAGGATTAGAAACATGACTATTGCTTTCCAATTGGCTGTTTTTGCATTAATTGCTACTTCATTCATTTTATTGATTAGTGTACCTGTTGTATTTGCTTCTCCCGATGGTTGGTCGAGTAACAAAAATGTTCTATTTTCCGGTACATCATTATGGATTGGATTAGTCTTTTTAGTGGGTATTCTTAATTCTCTCATCTCTTGAAGATATTTGTTCTAGATCAAAAAAGAAATGACCTAGATATTTGTTCTAGATCAAAAAAGAAATGACCCCCCGAATTCTTTCGGATTTTGAGGCACATTAAATTGGAATATAAGTCCCCAAAAATAAAGAAAACGAAAATAGTATTCGGGGGGTCAAACTTCTTCTATTGGAAGAATGTTATCTCATATAGTTAATAGGGTATATCGTAAAACCAAAAAAAACAATCCAAAATGGAATAAAAATAAAATAAATAGAATCAAAATAGAAAATTTGGAATATGGAATTCGAATATTCTCTGAATATTCTAAATATTCGATAAATACTATTAATAGCAGAATATTCTTAATATAAATAGAGTTACTATTTATGAAGCATTAATAGATTATATAGACTATATATCTATAATAGAAAGAATACATATAAGTTTAATTTAGAAAGAATATATAAATATAGAATTAAAATAGAATATTAATAAGAATTCTTAATATTCATTAATATTAATAGAAAAATAGACATATAGAATTGCAATTTAATAGAAACTAATATGAATCTAAAATATTCTATTTAGAATAGAAAAATTTAGATTATAAATATATATGGATATCTATATATCTTTCAACTTTATTTTGAATTTTATATAGTAAAGGAAGGATTTCTTCACCCATGTTCTCGGAAAAAGCAGCCAAAGCATAGTATGACTTTTCCTGAATAAATTTAAATGTAATGCTCAGATAACATGCAAACAATCCAATTAACTTTTTAATTTTAATTTTTTTTTGCACTAGCACATAATCTAGCAATCTATTGTATTGAGCAAACCGCTCTCTTCTCCAACGTGTACCTTTGCTTCATCAGATGCATCCTCAAGAGCATTTAAAAAGCAGGGAAAAACACTCTCATAATGGGATACAATTTCAGACTGCAAGTGCTCACAGTAGAAGATCGACCAGCTGTCAAAAAGGAAGGATATAACTGTCCAAAAATATCAGATTACAAATCCTTACATTGGGTATTTCACAAATACCACCTTTTTTGTGGTAATTTCATAAGGTAAAGTACAACACATTTTGCTCATAAAAGCAATTCCAGGGCAAATTGAATACCCATGCAACTAATGTGAAAACTCCTACCAAATTTGGCCTTTTATGATACCCATTATAACTTTCCTGGTATTTTTCTAAACATACCTCTACCAAACAGTAATGGATCACCGATCACAACTATATTAAATGTGTAGTCTTATTCTTATTTTGATATTTGTTCTGATTTTTTAAATTGTTTTGGTACACACTCCAAAGAATATTTTCTTTTTTTGCAAGACTTAAACTTCTGACCTCCGATTAAGAGGTATAAATATCTTATCACTTGAATTAATAGAATTAAGTATGTATCATTTGAATCAATTTCACTACTCAAAATTCTTTTTCAATTGCTAAAGAAAATGACAAGCAACAATAGTCATAATTTACAAGTGGACTGGGTTAAAGCACGGGCTAAGGACAAAAGAACTGCAAGGTCTTATTTAAACAGAATTAAGCATGTATCATTTGAACAAACTCCTTTACTCAAAATTCTTTTTCAATTGCTAAAGAAAATGACAATTCTTGTTTGCAACAATAGTCATAATTTACAAGTCGACTGGGTTCGAACACGGGCTAAGGACAAAAAAACCAGCGGCCTCAGAGTTATTGAACAAAAGCGATAACAACTAGAATTTTTTTAAATTTTTTAAAGAAGAGATCACTACCTGATAAATGTAACTTAGTTTACAACACATGTGGAGGAGAGTGGGAAAAAAATTGGGTTGAATTTTTACCTAGTATATCTTTGGGGAGGAGTCAAAAATTTTAACTGTAACTATGTCCGACTCGGAATTAATTATGCCTAAAACTCAAAATTAATTCAAATTAATTTCATAACCGATTCAAATAGTCGAAGTTTATATAAATATCAAGAGACAACACACCTAAAAAAAAATAATTAGAGTCAATATATAAAAATAAAAAAGAGATCACTGGTTAAAATTATTGTGAAGAAGAAACCACCCGTTGAAATTTTTAATTTTTAATCTAAGTCCAGATAGAACCTATCTAATTTTTAAATTGTTTATGTCCATTTTCATTCTCTCTTCATGACTTTGTTCACTCTGCACTGCTCCCAGGAGGAAAGTAGGTCTGCTGCTATTGGAAGGCAGCAGATAGTTACAGAGAAGGATGGAAATCTGATTCAGACACTTGGTGGGGGATCTGTTCGAAATGAAGAGAAAACTCGCAGATTACTTGCTGGAAGTGAAGGGTTGGATAAAAAATAAAGAAGAAGAGGTGAGGGTGAAATCTTGTAGTCATCCAACTTAACATAATGATGGAGAGGCAGAGGGTGGAGTTTTGCATTGAGGCCATAATGAGTGAACTGTAATGAACATGGATGGTGTTGGTGGGGACCTATATTGGAGAGAAGAAGAAGAAAAAAAAAGTAAGGTAGCAAATGACGTCGTTTGCTATCCAGGTGGATTCTTCCATGGTGACTTAGCTGTTTAAAGGTACACGTCAGAGACGTTAGTAACGGCGTTAGAGCCCCACTAACGGAAGGACTAACATGGGCCTAATTTGTAAAATTTAGGGACTACAATGTCTCTTTTTTATTGCTAGGGACCAAAAAGGGCTTTGTGGATATTTCCAGGACCGAAAAGAGTATTTACTCTATATTTTTTTAAATCCGATTGAACTTCTTATGATCAGTAGGTCTTCTAAATTCCCGGTAGTATATGGTTAGGCCCAAAAAAATGTTCACAGTGAATTTGACATTTTGACCTGCATTTTTATTTTTCTATGGTGCGTTATGAGGTTTAAATGATGGGAAAATTATTTTAATATTATATGAGATAAGTTTTTTTTCTCACACATCTTTTCATAACTGTATAATCTTTTTTTTTTTTTTTTTTTTTATTTTTTTATTTTTGAGGTGGTAAACTCCACTACTATATATATAACATAAAATTCATTCCAAGATGAGACTAGATAAGCTTTTACAAAATTTTAATTAGAAAAATGATACATATGTAATTCCCGTGTCAGACACGAGAGGTGCACGAGGCATGATGGGGCGCGGCGCACTCTATAGTAACTCCAATAATTCGTCATAGTTAACCTTGTTCCATTTCCGTTCCTTTCTACCAATTTCTCGATTTCCCTCTCTAAAACCCTAAACTTCGTAGCTTTCGCTGCAGCACCTGATATCCCACAGTTAATCAAAGGTAATCTTACATTTATATCTCTTTAATTCAAGAAGAGAATTAGAAACGTCAAATTTTGAATTGATATGCTTTTTCTTTTCCTCATGAATAATTGAGATTGAAATTCCCCGCCGAATGAGTTAATTGCGATTTTTAGCTAGGCGAAGAAAAAATTATTGTACCCTTCCATTTTCATGTTTTTCTGTTTTCTTGAATGATATTGAGGATTCTTAGATTTCTATTGGAATTTGCTCTTGCTTATTTTCGATTTTTTTTCTTGTCGCAGGGAAAATGAGAAGACGTTCGAGCAGAACTATCTATGTTGGGAATCTACCTGGCGATATTCGTGAAAAAGAAGTGGAAGATTTGTTTTACAAGGTACTTTGGTTTATTTTTTCTTCAGAAACATTTCTGTGGGGCGTTTAATGGAGGAGAAATTTTTTTGTTCCCGGGAATTTCCGATATGCTAAGAAAGTGAATTTACAGGAATGTTACCAAAAAGTTATTTGATAGGCCAAAATATGACTAGAATTGTTGGCTCAAGTTTTCTAATTCTATATTTGGTTGATTGTCAAATATTGTCGGGGATGTGAGGTCATTTTACGAACTAACCTCTATGAAGCAAGAGACAACCCACCTTCCTGACTTATCAAGCACGATAAAATTATCCCCCCATTTGTTCTTGTCTCTTTCTTTTGCATGCTTTTTTCATCCAAATCGAGTTTCGGGTCTGCGTTACAATGTGGTCTGGGTCTATCTTCCGTCGGACCCACTCCTTGCTTCATGCCAGTCGTATGGCCATGTTGTCTTCCCCACCGCGATATTCGCCGAAGAACCTCTTGAGAGCTTCAATGTCTTGCTGGACGTCGAGGAGGCTGCTGGAGTTGCTCCGGCAGACGATTTCGTTGAGGGAATAGGATTCAGAGGAATCAAAACCGGCGTTGAAGGGGACATACTTAGCAGTGAAGTTGTGGGCGGTGGAGCGATGGCAGCGAGCCTCGTCCTTGATGTTATCGGTGGTTCGACGGTGGTAATCATTGGGTGGCAGAGGAGAGTGGTTGTTGGTGATGGAAGAAGACGAGGTACATCTTACTATAACGAAGACAGAGCGTTTATTTGTGTGGGTTGAATCGATGGGTTTTGTTTTTGTTTTTGTTTTTGGAGTGAGGGTGGAGAAAGACAGGTTCAACAGAGAAGACAACATTTTTCTGTTTTTCCTTTTGATGGAGGATTACGAAAGAGAATGGGGTGTGGAAAAGTGTTATTGTTATTTATCCAGAAAGGGGTTTCATGGAGAATCAAACTCAGATCAAGGGGTAACACAAAGGCAGTGAGTGTAACAAGACAGGGTAATTTTGTCCCAAAAAATTTGAAAAAATATTCCCACCGGGTGGAAATCCGAAAATACCACTCACTTGGTGGTATTCTAACTTGGGATTTTGCTTCACAATTTCGAATCCTGGGAATCTGATTTTTCCAGGTAAATTTTCACAATCTTTATACCAAACTTGGGTAAATAGAATTCGTCAGTTTTCCGGGAATTTTAAATTTATCCCTCTACCAAACACCCTTAAATTGTTTTAACAAGTAGCTGAATTTCCCTGTATACAATTAAAAAAATGTACAGAGAACTGTTGGACTCCTAGTGGTTTTATTTTATTTTCCAGATTGATGCTTATGATTTTAGTTGGTTTTTGTGGAATCATTAGTTGTTTTATCATTCTGCAATTTTGAGGTTACTTCTTGTTTGTTTCTCAGTACGGACACATAACTCACATTGACCTTAAGGTTCCACCAAGGCCCCCAGGTTATGCATTTGTGGAGGTGAGCTTGCTGTCACACACTTCTATATGAATTTCTTGTTATTTTTTTTCTCCTAATTGATGACTGGCTATTGCAGTTTGAAGATGCTCAAGATGCTGAAGATGCAATTCGTGGGCGTGATGGCTATGATTTTGATGGGCACCGGTTACGGGTTAGTTATATCTTACAATTGCATGCTCCAGTGATATGATAACCACAGTGTTTTCTATGAGCTAAAGAAAAGAACATAGCTGCAGTGCATTGCCGATACTGTTTGAACTTTTATGTTATATGCCCCCCCAAAACGTTTTAACCTGTATCTTTATAGGTGGAGCTTGCACATGGGGGGCGCGGTCCTTCATCTTCAAGAGACCGATATAGTAGTCGTAGCAATGGCCGGGCTGGACATGGGGTATCTAAGCGTTCTGAATTTCGTGGTGTGTAAGCTGTTGAAACACTTTTAAGGTGATTTTGAGGATGCTTTTAATAAGAGTCTAAAATTTTAATCCTTCCATATGCAGTTCTAGTCACTGGGTTGCCCTCTTCTGCTTCCTGGCAGGACCTTAAAGTGAGCTATTGTGTTTGTTTCTGTTTTATATGACAATTTTCTGGGAAGTATATGAGTAACGCCTCTAAACATTGTTTTACTGAAATTCAGGATCACATGCGAAAGGCGGGGGATGTTTGCTTCTCCCAAGTTTTTCATGATGGAAGAGGTGCACCTCAAATATAATTTCTGGTCTTAAAAATTGTACCCAATGATTTGGATATGTTAGCAATTGAGAATTTTTAGGTTGTTGCCTTGATGGTTTTTACCTTTTTTCTTTTTATTTTTTCTTCATCGCTCTTTTCTTAATTCCCTCTGTATGAGGGTAGCGTTGAACCTGTCAAAAGAATGGTAGTTGGAGTTGCATGCAACTTGATTCTTGAGATTAAGTGCTAGTCTTCAGCTAATAGATACAGATCGCAAAGTTTTGTTACCAGAATCGCATGTTGGAATTGCTGGAATCTTGATTTTGCTGCGATACTGATGATACAGACCTCTAAGGGACAGGGAGCCAAATGGCAACTGTGGGGGCAATGAACTGAGGCAGTGATGGCTGGATCTGGAATCTTGACAGCAGAGAGGTTTGCGAAGGCAGCATCATCACCCGCTACTCAGATGGATAGATGCAGCAAACCAGTGATCAGCACATGGTGGCAAGTGGCTACTCCTGTGATGGCAGGCCTCTGGTTGTAGGATAGCCTTCTGGCAGTGGCAGTGAGGGTGGTGAGGGAGGTGGGAGGTGGAATGCATCTCGGAGGTGTAGACCCGAGATGTGGAGGGGAAAAGGAGAGAGAAACAAATGAGACGGCTGAAATAAATAGTGTTTTTCTTGCTAGGTTTAGATATCATTTTTAGAGATAAGATCATGGAAAAAACCCAATGATTACTGTGCACGAAAGTAAATTAGAAAATTATTCTATTTCTATACTTTTACAGTTATATTTTGTCAAAAATAATTTAGTATTATTTTTAGTAATGAGTCGTGAAGGGTAACATTTCAATTAAGGATTAAGAAAAAATCCCTCTGATCTGTAATTCGATTAGCAATTTGATAATCATGGTCAAATGAGGGATTTTCTTATTAGTTTCTTGCTTTAATGCTATTTGTGGGATTCTTTGTTGTACTGTTGTTGGTTTGTAGGTACAACAGGTATTGTGGATTTCACAAACTATGATGACATGAAATATGCTGTAAGTTGCTTCTTTACTTTATTTTATTTGTCCCGAAGGAACATTGTTCATCTCTAATCAATACCTAATTATGCTTGAGGCATTAATTTTTTCCTCCACAGATCAAGAAGCTTGATGACTCAGAGTTCAAGAATGCATTTTCTAGGGGTTATGTTCGTGTATGGACTAAATTTGATATTTAGAAAAATTATATTTGTTCTCGTGTATCTGTGTGCTACTTATTATTTATCCCCCCTGTAGGTAAGGGAATATGATTCGAGAAGGGACTCCTCTAGAAGTCCTAGTCGTGACCGATCTCATTCTAGGGGAAGAAGCTATAGTCGCAGTCGTAGCCAGAGTCACAGTCGGGGCCGGAGCCAAAGGTTTGTACATCATATATTTACTTTCCAGGTTGTTCTTTTTGGGAGATTCATTCTTATTTGCACATTTTAATCTTCGTTCAGTAAATCTCCAAAGGGTAAATCTTCGCAGCGTTCACCAGTTAAATCTCCTTTAATATCTCCTCCTCGTTCACATTCGAGATCAAAGTCCCGTTCTTTATCAGGGTATGAAACTATCTTTTGAATGTGTATCATTTGTTTGTACATTATTATGCCTACTATCATTTGCTTTTTTAAGTATTATTTTTATAATTGATGCTGTTATTTGGTATTATGCTAATGGCTGGTCCACCATTTACCAATCTGTTTAGAGCTTCTTAGGAATATGCAGGGACCAACCAAAAGAGCCCACCTAGAAAAGGCATATGGAATTGGGGGAACATAGAGAACCCTTGGTACCAATAATGAACGTAATATAAATAAATGGAGTTTTAATTCGCTAATCAATTGAGTTATTGTGTATCTTGTCTTAGCAAACTTCATTTCAACTACTCAAAATTTCAACTTCAACACCCTGTTGAAATCAGTCATGTGTACCTTCCTTGTTTGATAAATATTAAAGACTTTAACTTCTTTCTTTTAACACCCTTCCCCTATCAAAAGTAAAAGATATAGAGAATCTTGTATGTAAATACAACATTGTTAATCCGTTTTCTCTATGAACTACAGATTTATTAATTTTTTTCTAGACACAAACTGTTGCTCTCTTCTCTTTCCCTCCTCTGTCAACTGTTTCCCTTTTTTCCTCATGCTTTTATTCATGGGGTTCCTGAGAAAACATGACTCCCTGTCACAATTTTCACTTTCATTTTCCTTTGGTTTTTGTGAAAATTCCTTTATTTGTTTTTTCCCCTTAGATATGGATACTTGAAGCAAACTTGGAATTGGAAATTAGAAACTTGGTGGGATTTGGTTCAGTTGCCTGGAACTCAATTTGTTATAGAGGTATGGTATTTTTTAGATGGGTGGCTTTGGATACCTTCAAAGTACATCTGTTCTAATGCTTTTAGCACGTAAATGTCCATGGGTGCTAGATTGGGAACAATGGAGATCACAGATTGCTATTTTAGAGCTGCATGTCTTGTGTGTGCATAATGGCAATTGGGATTTGGAAATCACCTCCAGTGAGCAATAGAGACAATTTCAGTACAATTGTTGACTTCAAGATTTGCCAAGCCATAGGTTGCACTATATGGATTCTCTGGATTTTGTGGTGCATTAGGGAAGATTTCTTCTCTCCTGTCCACTGGTGTCTTGATATATTACTTAGTGATCCTCTATTTTGATTCACTTCTCATAACATATTATGTATAAAATGTCTACAAAATCCCCCCCCCCCTCTCTATCCCTTGGGCAGTTATATATTTTACAATGTTTGTTTGTTAACGTCCTTTGATATGATAACTGTGCCTTGGGAGAGGCATCAAAGCTGCTGGAAATTTGATAAAGGAAATTGTAGATTTTTAAATTCTTTTTGTGAAACTTTTGCAGATCAAGATCAAGATCCAGGTCTCCTGTGCCATTGGTGAGTGTTTTACTGATCAAACATTATTTTGCTTCATGTGTTGGCTGAATTAGATATTGTGATTTGCAACATACAATGGGTAGCTTGGCCTTTTGGGTCAAACCATGCCCTGAGGAAAAGCATGTGGATGTTGTTGAACTACACGAAGTCTCATTTTTCTTTGTAAATCCCTACGACTTCTAAGAAATTGTTTTCTACTGAAGTGTGTTGCAAAGCACATTTGAAGTTTCTAATGCATTGATCGGGTTTCCCCATTAATGATATTTTTTGCCAGCGTAATAAAAGCCCAAAAAGGCACAGTCCTAGCAGAAGCCCAAGTAGGAGCAGAAGCAGAAGCAAGAGTTTGTCCCGGTCTCTCTCGTTAATTCTATTATTTCTTTCTTATTGATTTTGCCTTGCATTCCTAACTTTCCTCAATTCGTATGGTGTCTATGTTATACTCAAATCCGTTTTTCAGTTTGGATCTGATTGGATATTGGTCTGTCAGGTGAGCTCCCGATTATTGTCAATCTTTTCAATTCATGAAGTTGTGGATGAGAGTGGGTGCTGCAAAGTTTGCTTTGTAAATTGACTTTAGCCGAGAAAAACACCTATTATTTGGCTTGAAGCTGATTGACCTCCTTTGCATTAAACTCGTAGACTATACCTTATTTGCGTTAGTATGTATGATAATTTAATGGATAATAACTCTGATAGACTGTTGAATGTCAAATTTATGCTGTTTGGTTCCTTCATCTGGTTTATTTGGCATTGCCACATCTGATACTATTGTATTTTTTTTTTTTTTTTTTTTTTGTTTATCGTTATTGCCTTACTATTGCTCACATAACGAGATATTTTGGGTTTAATTGGGTCGTCGTTGCATGAGATTTGCCTGCTAGGTGAGTTCTTAAGAGTTTATTTACTTGGGAGACTGTTTTCCTTGATTTTTATAATTTCTTTCTTACCAGGAGCCATAAGTTTGCATTAGCCTTCACAGTTTTGTTTTAAATTTAAAGGAATCAGGACTTGCTTTTTCATTGGATATTCTTATTCATTATTGAATCTGTGCTTGCCGCAACATTTATAGTACTGCTCCATTCCGTACGAATTGCGTGAGAGGAGATTACATTATAGTTCTTAGCGCGGTTATTGGGTTTTTAATTTGTAAAGTTCAATCTGTACGGGAATTCGATCCATATTCATGCACTTTATCCATTGTTTTGTTGGACTAAATTTTGCAAAAGGTCAGTTTCAATTGTCTTTTGCCAATGAAATGCATGTATTCAGTTCAGACACACTTGGTGAAGACTAGGAAGAGGTGAGATGCTATTGAAAATAATTGGGAGTTTTGTATGTGACTCGTGATTGTAGTTATAGTCATGTTTTTTGAAGTTAATAATTAGTGATTTGTAATCCTTCTTGAATTTGATTTTATTGGTTTGTGTGACATAATTGGGCTGTGCTTTCATTTTATTTTCTCAGTGTCAATAGAGGCTATCAGTACTAAAAGTTTATTTTTTTCAAAATCACATTTTATATCTTTCCTTGATCAAGGTAGTTTACTTATTGGGTTTGGTATAAAATTTAATCATTTATTTATTTTTGGGAGAGGCTTATTGCTAATCGGATGACAAAATTGTCACAATATGATAAAATTTAATAGTGTTATTTAAAGTTAATAGGGGAGTATGAGTGTTTTAGATGACGGGAATATTTTTGATTTTATAAAGGAAATGTTAGGTATTTATAAAGTTTTTTCAATTTATTACACCTGCCACTATTATCCATTATCCGGGAAATAACAAATACTGCTCTTTTTGAAATTTACATAAAGTAAGAGGGGTTTTTAAAGCAAAGATAAAGCAAAGAAAGGGTGCAATTATATAAATAAGGTGGACATGCTTATATCGGGGTTAATTTGTAATTTGCTTGACAAAATAATTATGTAATGGTATTCCTTCTCATTCCCACTCATTCCATTGGAAGAGTGGTGTGTTCCAAAAGTATTTTGCTTTTAAGCCCACGGTATTGTTTTCTGTGGACGGCTTACCCGAAGAGGATCGTGCATATCCTTTCATATCTTCAAGCTGTTTTAACTCTGAAAAGAAAAAAAAAAAATTGTCGAAGATGAATGTAATTTTTTTTTAAAAGCGATGCTTGAAAATTGATTTTTCCTAACTTCCTTTATGCCTTTCGCAGATTTTTTTAACGATGGGTCAGTTTTCGTTCGTAACTTGGTAAAGTTGCTTTGGAAAAAGTTTACAAGAGGACATTCCCATTTTAAAGGTTATGCAACCGTTCCAAATCATCAATAATTTTTTAACATACGTTTATGGAGCAATGGGTTCATGAGGATATTTTAAACTCCCACACGCTTTAGTAAAGTCATCTAAGCACACGTATCCTCTACAAGAGATAATATTGTTTCCGCCACTGCTGGGAACATCCATAGCATCCACAAACTTAATTTTTATTTCAAGACTTTCTCACTCTCAAGCATCCTGACTCACTTAATTATAATCTTCATGGAGAGTGGCAACGTGCGCAAGTGTTAGGAGTGGAAAGATGCATTTATTATGACTTAGCCGATTTCTTCGGCTGTGGCGTAAAAATGATATTCACAAATCACGATGATGAATTCATGCTGCCAACTAATCCTATTTTTGTTATTTCTAACTACAATGCACAGTTTAGAGTAGCCATAAGGACATATCATAAGCATAATTTGATGTAGTGCACAAAATATTATTTGATATAGTGTCTGGCAATGCGTTTCAAAATGCAGGATATGCATATGATACCAGGAGAAATGCCGTCATAACAAAAATTTATCCTATCCATGTGACTAGCGCTGAAGAAAAAGTTAGTTAATATGACACTCATATCTATTGTTATTTGTTAATGATGTCCATTCTCTTTAGAATAATATTAATGAAATGTGAAAGAGAACAAATTGTAGTTGGTAACTAATTTTGATTAGTTCACGAGCTGCCACCAAATATTATTAAATTGGATTTATTCATTTTTAAGGGGTCCGTTCACACGGTGGTTTTTTAACTTTACGTTTGGGCATTAGTTTTTTTTTTTTTATATTTTTTATTTGTTTTTTTTGGTGTCATCAACTAATTTCTACTATTTTTTGAGCCATCAGCTATTATTATAAAGCATCATTATTTAGGTCGCATGAGATACAGTGTTGCCGAAGACTCTCGAGCCAAGTTCACCTAACTTACTTTGCAAATGAAGAAAATAATGTTCACCTAACTTACTTTAATTACAATCTGTCTAATTTTAATATGATTATGTTATATAATGAATCTAAATCACTTAATGCCAATGAGTATGTATGAGATACATGACAACAATTTAATTACTAGAATACGAGAGGGAATGTGTTTAGGATATATATATAAAAAAACACTGTAATTATTAGAATATGGAAAAAAATATGCTTATAAAGACGCCACCGTTATTTAACATTTTTACCTAATTAATTCTTTTTTTTGCCTGGAAAATGGAAATAACAGCTGTAGAAAACGTGTGCACACCGCACCTCCTTGTATTCAATATTGGGGGCGGAGAGAGAGAGAGAGAGTAAGAGAAAAAAGCAAAATAAAGAAAACTGCACAGTGCATAAGGCATTAACCGGAGGAGCAAGTTGTATCTCTCCGTCTGGAACGAATAACGAAAGAGCATGGGTGAAGGTGAAAGCGTTTTCTGGTTGCTCACCGACGATATCGTCCTCAACATTCTAACCAACCTTGAAGACGATCCACGTCATTGGGCTCGCCTCGCTTGCGTCAGCACCAGATTCTCTTCCCTCGTTCGCAATTTCTGCTGGAAGAACAAGTGCTCTCACTCCCTCCCTTCCGATCTCCTATCCGATTCTCCGTCATGGTCCTCTCTCAACAAGCTCGCCCTCTGCTGCCCTGGCCTCCTCCACGCCGGCTTCCTCCATCGACCTCCTTCCCTCTCCGATGATCTCCATTACGACGCTTTCGTTTGGAGGCCGCATTTGGCTTCTGAGAATTGGAATCTTCGGAGGGAACAAGGGAGCAAGCTCCTCGCGAGGAAGTTCCGCGATGACTGTTTGTATATTTGTGATTGGCCTGGCTGTGTCCACTTCGTGGAGAATAGGAACTACATGCTCTTCAGAGGGGTTTTCAAGAATTTCAAAGGAACGCGTGTTTGGAGAACCATCAATGATGGTAAACGGATGAAGGTTAATATTGGCTGTGCGTTTTGCACGTGTGCACAGACTTGGGACCTGCGCTCTTCGTTCTGTCTCAGGCGTGGTTTTGGGTACCATCACGATGGGGAGCCAGTTGTTCGAGCTTATGTTTGTGAAAATGGTCATGTCTCTGGGGCTTGGACCAATGTTACCATGTTCTCTTGATCCGGTAAACTCGCCCTCCCCCCTTTTTTTTCTTCCTTTAACTTTCTAATGATGCTTGATGTGCTCTTTGCTTTAATTACTGACAATTCATAGCATAACTTGTGCTTTTATGGTTTTTACATTCGTTCTTTCTTTCTATGTCTATGCGTGTTACTGTCCAAAGAAGGATCCTAGACATGTTGAAACTTGAATTGAATTGTTGTAAAAATCTTTCACAGATAGTGAAATATAATATAAACTTATTAACTTGGCCTGTTACTTAATCGTTTAAGATCTTGAGTTGTAATGATATTTTATATGATATTAGTGCTCACCAACTGGTTATGAATTTGATTCTCACCTAAATAATTAAATATTGTGTGATTTCTTACTATACTTAGACATATTTGTATATTGTTCATCTTTCAAGTTCAACTGACTCTTGTGTTAGGGAATACAGAGAAATATAATATAAAACCTATTAATGTAACTACCACTTAATACCTTAAATTTTTAGGCTGAATTAATTCTTTGGTTGGAGGCAATAACACTTCATGTAAGAGATGTCTAAGAAGTTGTTATAGCATTTAATTCTTCATGAAAGTATGGAGGATCTCTTGCTATGTTTTTCATTCAGGTTAACCGTGTTGTGATTTCGTAACTTTCTTGTGGTTTCTTACTTTATTGTCCTTCATTTAGATGGTTGTGCATTTCGTTTTATTTTGTTTTATTTTTTTCTATGGAAGAGGGTGTCTTAACATTTTCCAGTAGTCAGTGTAGAGGTTAATAAAAAGAAGATGATTGGGTCCATATCATATTGCAAATCATGCTTATGCAATTGGAATTGGCTACGGCCTTCTGTTTGCAGGGGTTTAGGGCCTTCAATATTTCAATCTTATATGTTGCGAAATATGTACTTGTAAGTGGGGTGTTAAATCATCATGCACTTTGTAGTTCTTGGATTATATTATTGTTGCTAATTTTGTTACTTATTCTAGTTTCTCTAGTTGGAGAATTGGAGAGGAAAAGGATTTGAGTATGTTGTAATATGTTCTGGGTTGGCATTTTGGTTGCTTTTTTTCTGGACTCATATATTGGGCTTCACATGCTCTTGGAGGTTATGGGCCTTATCCATTATGGGGTAAACTCTTCTATAAATAAAGAATTAAACTTCACACTAATTATGGCCATTGTGCACACAGCCTTTCCTTTTGTGCACAGTAACAGTGATTTGCTACAACCTGTGACTACCTCCTTCACAGATACCATAAGCTATCATATCCTGCATTAACGACAATCCTCTTGTATCGAACACTTTTATATAAATCTCATTGATTTTTGTCTGCGATCTTATGTAGTTCAAAATCGGTCTTTCGACTTATTTTGTCATTGTCGCCAAGTAGTATAAAATGGAGTGGGACTTCCAACTTTTTCTATTCATATTCACCAAAAGAAAGAAATTTTTAAAAAGAAAAGGAAAAATGGGGTGAATTTCAGTATTGCTCTCTCTTGATACCAGAAATATGATGAATTGTGTTTGAAAGTCTATGTAGGCATTTGTATGCAGTGCCAACTTCAAATATATAATCTAGGAGTATATTTTCTATACAACTGGAGTAGGTATTCCCTTACCAAAAAGGAGATATGAAAGGAAATAAGCATAAAGGTAATAATAATGTAAATGGATTACTTTTTCCACATTTGGTAAAAAATGTAGTGAGTGCTGCTTAGTATATCCATATTATTGAAAATATTTTCCTAATCTAGATAGGTTTTCGATGGAATATGGGACATCTAATGCTGATGCGGATCTTCAATCTTTGGCATAAGTTGCGCATGCATTGTTTTACACTGGCTATACAATTTGGGATTGATTTTTTTTTTTTTGTGAATTCAAAGATTAACGTTAGTCTATGTCAAACGCCCGGTTTTGTGTGATACATTGGATGATTTTGATAGTCTTCAGACCTCGGATTTATAACTATGATGCTTGAGAATCAGTGTCATACTTGGTTTTGAATCATCTTCGAAGCTAATTTTTGAAATGGATGTGTGAAGAAGAGTAAGGTCGTTAGGCAAATATGCTGTTTCAGTTTAACCATGTTGCAATTTGAGCTAGAAGACGTGGGTAGAGACTAGAAATACTGGAAAATACTTGCTTGGATATGAGGGACATCTAATGCTGATGCGGATCTTCAATCTTTGGCATAAGATGCGCATAGCATTGTTTTACCCTGGCTATACAATTTGGGAGTGAATTTTTATATTTTTGAAATACCGGATATAAGGATTTCTTTTCAAAAATTTTCGGACAGTTGTACCCTTCTTTTGCAGTTGGTCTTCACAACGTGGTCTCTATTTCTTCATTAGAAAATATCCTTAGAAAGGATAGAGTGCACCTTATTTGTGCAAGTACTACAACCTTAGCAACTCAAAAAATATAATAAATAAATAAAGGAAATAATGTAAATCATCCAATACCGGTAATATTTTATCATCGACCAAACATAGACTCAGGCAAATTATTCAATATTCCCGGTATTTTTTTTTACCTACCAAATAATTTTTTGATCACATTTTTAAAAAACTCATTTTTCTACTATATTTCTAGGAATCATGATTTTCGGATAATTTTTTTTTCTCTTATACCAAACACCCCTGATAATCTTCAGACCTCGGATTTATAACTATGATGCCTGAGAATCAGTGTCATACTTGGTTTTGAATCATCTTTGAAGCTAATTTTTGAAATGGATGTGTGAAGAAGAGTAAGGTCGTTAGGCAAATATGCAGTTTCAGTTTAACCATGTTGCAATTTGAGCTAGAAGATATAACACCTCGGAATTTTAAATTTTATATTAAAATATTAAACATTAATTAAAGGAAAGGATTAGTGAAAATTCTGAGAATTAGGTCAAAATACAAAGAAATGGCAAAACAGTAATTAGCTAACACGCAACCCTATGAAGATAAAAGTTGAGTAGAAGGTCTCAGATGATGAAAATAACCCTAGAAATGAATTCAGAACGAAAAATTGAATGGATAGACAAATTTCAGAAAATTCAGTGAATAGTATTTTTACCAGGTAAAAATATCGCGGTACGATTACACCGTAAAACGTGCCGATTGAGTTTTGAGATCTAGGTCTTAAATACAAGTTATAAATGGTTTATAGAACTAGGAAATAAGATTTCTGATGAAACTTGACGAAAATTAGTAAGTTTGGAGAAGCGTGCCTACAACGCGCGCAACAGCTTAAAGCAGCATTTTCTCCGACCGACCGGAAAACTCTGGATTCATCTGATCAAGTGTAATTAAAGGACAATGGTTAATGTTAAAAATTAGAATTTCTAAATAGGTTGTGAAATTATGGACGTTTAGTGGAATCGTAGGGAAATTCAAATAAGTTTGAAATGCGTGAGGTGGCGGTGGGACCCACCCGACTTAAGTAGGACATGCCACATGTGCATAGCCTCACTATTCATCATCACTTCTCTCTCTCTCCCTCCCTTTGAAACCCGCGGCTGCCCCTCCCCCATGGACACACATTTGATTTTCTTTCTCTCTAAATCCACCAAATCCTAATCAAATCCTAACCAAATTCATTGATTTTTGTGTTGAAATTCATTGGAAATCATGTTCTAAAGCCATTGGTGGTACCTTTGAACTTTGAAAACCACTAGAAATTGAGATATTTCCTCCCCAAGGCCGCGGCTCATAGTGTTAGATTTGTGTTCATTGAGTTGTTTGGAGCTCCAATAGTTTAGTATGTTTTGGAGGAGCCTTGTCTAGCTTTTGAGTAAGTTCCTACACATTTTCAATGGTTTAATCTTTGGATTTAATTCATGAACCCTAAAGGGGGTTTTGTTGATTTGTGTTGTTAGAGAGCTCAAATGGAAAATATATATTAGATGTTATTTTATGTTATTTATATGCATCGAAGTGAGCCATTGGACGGAGTTTTCTCTGGAACCTCTGGGTTACTGAGATATATTCGTATATCTCACCTCGTCTTGAGGGCTTTATTTCAGAAGGTAGCAGTGGTGCAAGCGCGGCGGGCAAGAAGCCCTTAGGATGACTAGATGGAGCATTTTATATTTTGCATTTTGATAACCACTGGGCCTAAGCTAGACTTAGAGCATGAACATTTCATATGTATGTAGGAGGAGGTTCATAGTTATATTTGTTCATGTCATTTTTGCTTAAGTCTAGTTGTATTTGAATTATGTCATTTTGAGGTTTCTTTATCATGTATTATTTGGAGATTAAAGTTGTAATTGTAATATGTCATGGGAAGCCTTGTAAATTATACATGAGTTGATGTAATTACGAAGGATATGTAATATGATGGAAGCTATTTTAGGATTATGATTATGTGTATGATTAGCAAATGCATGCAATTGGACTTGGATGATTGAAACCTGTTAAGTATTAATAAATAAAGGAATGTGATACGAATTGTATAATTAATATAAACTGTGATGAGTTGTAAGTGCCCCAAGGCATTGTTGGTCCTTGTGTGTGACATCCAATGATTATTAGGTACATTTGAGCTTCTTGATCACAATGACAACTTTGCGGATTTTTGTAAAAACAAAGGAAATTCTGGCAAATTTTCTAGAAATTGGCATAATTTAGGCGAACTTCAGGAGACCATATCTCCATCTACAGAGGTTCGATAGGGACGTGCCATACGCCATTTTGAAGCTTGAGATGTCCTCTATCTTTTGTAAAATTTGGTAAAAATCTGGGTTGGACGTCGGCCTGTAGAAAGCAGAGAGTGCAGACTGCCCATTTGCTCACTGCACATGTGGTAGTTCTGGACTAGTTTTGGGAAATTTATTCCCGCTTCGTTTCTTGGTCAAATTAGGTGTATTATATATCAAATTGAAGCTTGAGGTGTCTAGTTTGTTGTATAAAAATTTTAGTGCAATTGGTTGAGTGAATTTTCTGCAGTAATTCGTGGAGTGAGGGATGTTTGGAGCCGTTTTGGGGTTGGTTGGCAGTTTTGCTTGTCCAACTTCAAACGGCGATATCCGGAGCAAACGAGCTCTAAATAACTCGTGTGATAGCTTCCTAAAAATTTAATTGAGTGTAGAATAACATATCAGAAGATGGGAGGCTTGTAGAATGTGGTTTATCCGCAGAAAATTAATGACCGAACCATGTTCGGATAGGTAGAAAAAGTAAAAGTGAGAAATATGCTAAGTGGATTTATGGGAACCCCTTAGTGACTTGTGGTAAGTAAAATAAGTTTTAAAAGTAACCTAATTAAGCATTCCGCAAAGAGTTTACAGTTAAGGTCACAACTTTTAATTATTACACTTTTATTGTTTTAAATGTTTGGGTAATAAATGGAAAAAGTTTACTTGCATTTTTATAAATGAATTGTTGTGATTGTAACTGCGCTTAATATCATAATTAATGTTAGCAATACCGATGTAAACGTTACGAATAGGACACATATACACCAAACCTTTGAAGGATGAGGTTCCAGTTTGCCATTCCTATTATTTATAGGCTGCAGTCTCCTCAGAAGTCCGCTCATCTTCGCAGAATTCACCTGGCTCTCTTACTCACCTTCGCGTCTAGGGCATGATGTCTTTATTTATTTTAAGATGATTCAATTGGTCAATCGTCTTGTTATTCTCAATCCATTCTTCCGGGCCTCTCTACGGGATTGGAAGAAGGAGTTTTCACCCAAATGAGTTAGAGTTCCTCCGAACCGTGTCATTCTCGAAGTATGGTCGAAAACACGAGGCGGGAGTGCGTCGAAGCATGAATTGACCTAGCGACGTGAACCTTGGGTGAGGTGCACTACGTGGTTAGAGACTAGAAATACTGGAAAATACTTGCTTGGATATGAGGGTTGATATGAATGCGCTTTATTTAATAAGTAATTTCGACGGCTATAGAACTCTAATGGAAGGGAGTTGAAATTTGTTAATTATTGGTTCAAAAATTACTGCTGAAATCTTAAAATGTATCTTATGATAAGCAAATTTAAACTCTTGACATGAGAGTATAACGAATTAACCAAATATGGAATCAGGTAAATAATGCCAGTTATACGGTATCGTAGTGTCTAATTTAAGTAAATACGCGGTTCATATCTTAAGCTTCGCCTTGTCTTACTCTTCGTTAAGAAACTATTCTCTCTTTAAAATAGGTTATCTGGAACAACAGAGTTGGCATTATTTCAAAAATGGGGGTCGTGTACAACAAGGCATAAATTCATTGATGATTATAATAAAACGCCACTAAAGTGTATTTTAAGAGGTTACTAAATTCTAAGCAAGGTATCAGAAAAGAAAATGCTCATATCTGAATATTAAACTGAATTAGGGAAATTGAAATTATAAGTTGATTACAAAGTGCTACCAATATATATAGGAGCTGAAATACACACTCCAAGAGAAAGAGATACAATCAGAGAGTTAAAACTGAATCTAACTAAGTGTCCGTTTGGATGGACTTTTATTCATAAGAAGTTACTTTTTTTTTTAAAATAAAAGTCATTTTGAGAATCTTTAGATGTTTGGATAACAACTTTTTAAAAAAGCAAAATTTAAATTAAAAGTTAAAATGCTGCTTTTTTTATAGCGAGTAGTTGGTTGCTTTTGGAAAAAACAGAAATTAAAAGATAATATAAATTTTTAAAATACAATTTTAACCTTATCCTATCATACCTGTTTTATCTCTCCTTTATTGTAATTTTATATATAAAAAATACTTTTTTATTTTAACATCCAAACAATTTTTTTTATGTAAAAGTGATTTTCAGATCATACATCCAAACATAAAATAATTTTACCTTTTAAAAAAATTTATTTTAAAAAAAGCAATGCATAAAAAGTCATTTTTTAAAAGCTCATCCAAACGGGCCCTAACTCTAACAACTTAACAACTCAACTAATTAGTTAACTGCATAATAACAGAACTTCCATGCTTTATTCTTTCATGGTTTGTGGCACATGCATAGACTGAGGAGAGTCTATGAGATGAAACTGATGCTGCTACATTTTGAACGGACTTTGAATCGTTGAGCTTGGGCTGATGATCAGATTTGGGCCATTGATCATTATACTGTATTACCCCCCCACAAGATGGGCGTAGAATATTGACAATGCCCAGCTTGCCTATCATGTCTCGAAAAGTAGAAGCTGGTAAAGGTTTGGTAAAAACATCAACAAGTTGAGCTGATGAAGAAACTGGTAACAAATGAATTAAACCAGAGCCAATCTTTTCGCATGTAACGTGACAATCCAGATCAATATGCTTGGATCTTTCGTGAAATGTGGCATTATGGGCTAAGTTGATTACAGATCTGTTATCACAAAATACAGAAGCTGGACGATGCCATGGAATTTGAAGGTCATGAAATAGATACTGCAGCCATTGCAGTTCACAAGATAAAGCAGCGAGAGCTCTGTACTCTGCCTCCGAGGATGACCGTGACACCGTGGATTGCTTTTTTGATCTCCATGCAATTATAGAAGAACCAAGGAACACACAAAAGCCTGTAATGGATCGACGTGTGTCGGGATAACACGCCCAGTCTGCATCAGCGAATGCACACACATGAAGATTATCTGTGGAAGCAAAAAATAAACCAGCTCTAGGAGTAAGCTTTAGATATCTCAAAATACGATGAGCATCAGCCAAATGGATATCTGTATGATTGGAAACAAATTGAGATATCTGATGGACTGCGAAGGAAATATATGGTCATGTTGTGGTCAAGTACAATAGACGACGGTAAGGAGCTGCATCAGAAAGAGGAGTGCCCTGAGATCGACTGAGCTTGATGGAAGGATCCATTGGAGAATTTGATGATTTAGCTCCCAATATATCAGCATCAGAAATCAATTCAAGGACATATTTTCGTTGATTAAGGATTATTCCAGCCTTGGAGCGAGCTACTTCAAGTCCCAAAAAGTATCTCAAGCTACCAAGATCCTTGATTTTCAATTGGTTGTCAAGATGACGTTTAACACGATTGATTTCAGTGAGAGAGTTGCCAGAAAGAATAACATCGTCAACATACATCAATAGAACCGTGAAAGAATCATCAGAAGAAAAAGTAAACATGGAATGGTCAGTAGTAGCTTGCTTGTAACCAATTGAAAGGAGAAAAGATGAGAGCTTGGCATACCATTTCAAATCGTATAGTGATTTTCGTAGTTTGCAAACAAGATTGGATGAATCAGAAGAAACAATGAGACCTTGAGGAAGCTTCATGTAAACTTCTTCATGAAAGTCACCGTGTAAAAATGCATTGTTGACATCCAACTGCTCAAGATGCCATCTTTTAATGGCAGCAACAGCTAGTAAGGTCCGAACAGAGGTGAGCTTTGTTACTGGAGAAAATATGTCAAAGTAGTCCTTCCCTTCCATTTGGGTGAACCCTTTTGCAACTAAACATGCTTTATAGCGCTCCACTGATCCATCAACATGATATTTAATTCTGTAAACCTATTTACATCCAATGGGTTGTTTGCCAACAGGTAACTCGACCAACGACCAAGTATCATTCTTAGAAAGGGCAGATAACTCAACCTGCATTGCCTTAACCCAATGATCATGCTTAATAGCTTGTGAATAACAGGTAGGTTCAAATTGTGTGCAAGAATTGAGACAAAAGTGTTTATAAGGTGAGGAACAATTATTATATGAAATAACATAAGACAATGGATGAAAAGTAGAGATAGGTTTGATCAAACCTGGTACTGATGTGTTGTGCTGAGCAACTGAAAGGCTATGGTGATAGTCCACTAAGTATTGAGGTGTAGTACGAACACGAGAGGAACGTCGAAGCTGCTGTTCAACAGGGAGTGCAGCAAGTTGGGATGTGTCTGGTGTAGGTATTGATGTATGTGGTTCACATAATGGAGCATGTGTGGTTGTGTCAGATAATGGTATGTTGGATGATAACGGAATGTCAAATTCAGGTTGAGGATTACGGCCAAATGGTAAAATATAATGGTTGTGAAAATCAGATTGGTATGTGGTATGAAAGGGAAACTCATTTTCATAGAATATAACATGACGAGAGACAAAAATGGCATGTGATGATAGATCATATAAAATAAAACCTTTTGTGGCATCTCGATATCCAATGAATGCAGACTTTCGAGCTCTTGGGGAATACTTTGTGCGATTATTTTGGAGGGTGGTAGGATAGCATAAGCTCCCAAATACACGAAGATGAGTCAAATTAGGTTGTTGTTGGTGAATCAGTTCAAAAGGAGATTTTTTATTTGTGACAGGAGAACAAATTCTGTTGATGAGATGCACAACATACGTCACAGCATAACACCATAAGGTTAATGGAAAAAAAGCTTGGAAACATAATGCTCGTGCAACATTAAGCAGGTCGCCATGTTTTCTTTCAACCTTGGCATTTTGTTGAGGTGTGATGTATCACACCTTTTTGCAAGAAAAAGTCCTTCATAAGGAACTCAGTTCCATTATCACTTTGAAACACTTTAATGGTTGTATGAAATTGATTCTCTACATAAGCAAAGAAATGCTGAATATTTCCTCGAGTGTCTGCTTTGTTTTTCATCAAGATCACCCAAGTGAAGCATGAGAAGTCATCAACTATAGTCAGAAAAAATCGATGACCATGTATGGTTTGTATACCAAAAGGTCCCCAAATATTTGCGTGAACTAAGTCAAAAGGTTTTGTGCTTTTGGTTTGGCTAATGGGAAAGGAAAGACGTTTTTGTTTTGCTAAGTGACAAGTGTCATAAGGCTGGATTTGGTGAGATGAACTAATAAAGGAGAGTTGAGAAGACATTTTATTCATGATTGCATCAAATACATGTCCTAAGCACATATGCCATAACAGTGAGGCATCTATTACATGAGAGTAACTAATAAAATTATGTTTATTCAATCCTTGAACTACATTACTTTGGGCTGTGGTCTTTTCATGAACTATCACATATAAGCCGGTCACTTGCTCAGCAAAACCAATCGTCACCTTGTTTGAAATCTGTTTAATATGACAAAAACGACCAAAAAATGTTAGAAAACAGTTAAGAGAACTGAGTAATTTGGTTACAGATATCAGATTCACATGGAAACTTGGTACATAAAGCACATTTTGTAAAATAAGAGTAGGTGACAAAACAACAGAACCTGAGAAATGAGATATAACTTGTGAACCATTGGGCAAATTTATAGTTATAAGATGAATTTTTCGAAGGAAAGAAAAAGATGAACTATTAAAACTAATGTGATCAGTGGCACCAATGTCAATAATCCACTGAATATGTGTTATACCTGTAGAGTTTGTGTCAGTGTGAAAAACATGTTCAATATTGACTGAATGTGTAGACTGAGTTATGGCAGTGTTAGGATTTGGATTTTGAAGTAGTGAGATAATGTGTTGGTATTGTTCGTGTGAAAGCTGAGGATGGATAAGAGTGATGTCATTTTGTGGAACAAATTGTGTTGAAGCATTTTCATTGAGGTTTGTATTTGAGGCATTGTTAGCAATATGATTATCTGAATTTCTGGAACGATATCCTAGTGGATAACCGTGCAACTGATAGCAAGTCTCCACTGTGTGATTCAATCTACCATAGTGAGTGGAAACTCTGTTGCCATAATTTCCTCTTCCTCCATTATTTCTTCCACGTCCTCTACTATTTCTTCCTGGATTTTGATTGAGATTTCTGCGGCCTCCATTGGCACCTGCTTTGTTATTAAAGGCAACAAAATTCTGAACATTAGTTAAAACTTCATTGTTGGATTCTGAGCTGAACTGCCTTTCCTGCTGTACTACCATAGAGAAAGCTCGGTTGACATTTGGTAGTGGATCAATTATCATAATTTGTGATCTAACAGATGAATACTGATCATTAAGCCCCTTGAGAAATCGAATAACATGATCTCTGTCACGATAATCACGCATTTTCAACAGTGCTCCACAGTTGCAAGAAGGATCACATTCACATATAGGAAGAGGTTTCAAGTTCTCAAGCTCATCCCACATGGTTTTGAGCTGAGTAAAAAATTCACTTACAATGCGATTTCCTTGATGTATCTTATAGATCTCCTCCCGTAGATCTGACACACGAAATATATCTGACTGAGAAAAATGATCTTTTAAGTCTATCCATGCATCTCTGGCACATTCAATCCATAAAATGGATTTGGCAATTGAATCAGAGATAGATCTATGGATCCAAGCCATCACCATGGTGTTGCATCGTTGCCACTGATTGTAAATAAGATGATCAGTAGCTGGAGGTTCAATTGATCCATCAATAAGAGCAATTTTATTCTTCGAGAGTATAGCTACGGTCATTCCTCTCGCCCAAGTATGATAATTGCTTCCGGTCAAAGGTGGTGAAACTAGAATTAGAGAGGGACTTTCATTGGGATGCATGAATATCGGATGAGAAGGATTTGTGTGAAAATCCAATGTAAGATGAGGATTCGCCATTGATAACAACAAGCAAAGAAAATTTTCGAAGGCAAGTACCAAATCTCAGTGAGAGCTCGGATACCATATCAGAAAAGAAAAATGCTCATATCTGGATATTAAACTGAATTAGAGAAATTGAGATTATGAGTCGATTACAGAGTGCTACCAATATATATAGCAGCTGAAATACACACTCCAAGAGAAAGAGATACAATCAGAGAGTTAAAACTGAATCTAACTAACTCTAACAACTCAACTAATTAGTTAATTGCATAATAATAGAACTTCCATGCTTTATTCTTTCATGGTTTGTGGCGCGTGCATAGACTGGGAAGAGTCTATGAGATGAAACTGATGCTGCTACATTTGGAACGAACTTTGAATCGTTGGGCTTGGGCTGATGATCAGATTTGGGCCATTAATCATTATACTGTATTACAAGGAGAGGCTTCGATACATGCTTAAATGCACTACAGAAATAAAAGCACGTAATATGATTTGACTTTGTAGAGTGTATGTGATTATAGTATGGTCTCTTTGTATTTGGCTCCCAAAAAATAACTTTCGAATATAAAAATTGAAGGGCTTTAGCTGTTGATAAGAATAAACGAATGATATTATAATAAAAAATGTGGATATGATTACCAAAAAAAAAATGTGGATATGCACAACAAAATATGAAATTGTTATAATTTGCTCTTGATTTTTTTATCTTTAATTGAAATCATTCACTTTTTCTGTTTAAGTGAATTACTTATTTTGGATGAGTAAAAATAGGTTTGTTTATATTCTCTACTATTATCTTAACATCTTAGGAATGGATCAAATATGAGAAATGAATTGTTTGTGTGGTAGATTACGATTTGTTTCTCTTTAGGGACGTAATATGTTGATGTGACAGTGATTTAGTGAGATAGATATATAGTCATAAGCTTAATAGGGGAATCACTGTAAGTGAGTGTCATATACATATTGAGAATCAAGGGGCATATGTAGGGTTTGGTGTCTCTGTGGTTTTATTCTGACAAAGTAACAATAAGAAGAAATGGTGAATAAAATGTGTCCCTTCAAAAGTAAATGAAGGGTGTTTATGGGTGAGAAAATCCTCCAATGATGAGAGAGAGTCATGATCATTTTTGTCATTGTGGTCTCTACTAGGTGTGAGATAAACAACCTTATTTGGTGCATGTGTTAAAGGAGAAAGATTCACTATAGTGAGATAACGCTTGTTTCCCTTTAGTGATGCAAAGATGTATTATATCAAGACCTAGAATTTTTTTTTTAATGTTTGCACACTTAGCATAAAAGAATAAAGGAAAATTTTTTTAAAGAAAATTTTAAATATACTAAAATACAAAAAAATATATATAAAAAAAACTTTAACTTAATATAAAAAAGTAATCAAGAGTCAACTAAACTATTGCAACAGAACATTTTGGGTTTTTAACAAAAATTACAAGCTTCAATTTAATCTCTTAGGGGAAAAAAGTCTACTCGTGATCCCTCAGAATTCAAAAATAAACTCAGATAATCAAAATCGCGGTCCTCTGAAATTCAAAAAGATCCACATTAATCCTTCAAAAGGACTAACATGGGTCTATTTTAGATTTTAAAGTAATCACGAGTCAACTTTTTTTTAAGAGATTAAATTGGATCATTTTATTTTTGTTCATGACCCAAAATATATTTTATTTTATTTTTCTCCAAAAAATTAGTGTGTGCACTTGCACACACTAAAACATACACAAATCCACCACTAATATCAATTGAGCATTAGAGGCTAGACCAATGCGTTGGACGTGTGTGCTCCAAAAAAGAAGATATTTCATAGAAAAAATAACTCTCATGTTACAGGAGAGTTAATATTTCTCTTGCACAAATGTAAAAAATTGCACCTTTATTTTTTTTATATTTATTTCATTTTATATGAGAGAAATAATTTTTCTACACACACAAAAGAGGGGTGAGTCTCATCACTTTTTTTTTCTCTCCTCTTACTTATGAGTTCCACTTATAATTTTATTTCTATAACATAAGGTTATTATTTTCTTACAACATAAAAAAAAAATATATATTTTTTTTATATTAAATTACGGCTGGCTCCACTTTTTTGTGTCAATTGGCAAGTAAGCCCTATTTAATATACAACTGTTGTGACTTTTAAGTTTTAAAAATATTTTTAAATGCATGTATAATATAGTACCAACCTTATAAATTAGATTAAGTATCTTATTTGTAAATAATTTATTTTATAAACATCTAACGATAAAGTATACAAACATAAAAAATTATATTAATTAAGCCAAAAAAAAAATATTGTATTTTTTTATCTAGTTAATGGTATGTTGTCAATCATCTTGTATAGATATCACAATTGATATTTAATTTCTATAAATACTTAAATAGCACAACGAATATAATCATGATCAAAATATGGTTGAAATTGCTTAAAATTTTCTTCATCCTAAGTCATAGATAAAAAAACTAAATGTTAGATATCATAAAACTAGATATAATAAAAATTTAACACAGTCAATGAAACTATATTTTCTTCAAATAAGGCAAATAGTCAAAATGCTGATTCATTTCATTAAAATATTAATAATATTATTTATATTACATTAATATTATTTATATTACGATGTGATCAATATATTAAAAATAATTTTTTTATATAAAATTTTAAGTTTTTAAGTGATGATTAATTTAATAATTTTATATTAAATTTTTTTAACACACCTTTTCATACTAAAGTTTATATGAATAGAAGAGCGAATAATTCAACCTAATAACTTAATAACTTATAAGTTAGATTAATAATTTTATATTAATTTTTTTTAAAACAATCTATAAGGGCCTGTTTGTTGCGGAGATTATTTTTAAATACCTGGGAAAAAGAGGTTGGCTTTCTTAGAATGCAACGTTTGGTGGCATAAAACTTAAAATTATCAAATGAAACTTAGTTTCCCGGATTTTCATTTGTAGTGTAAAAGTGGAGACAAAATTTAACCAAAAAATACCACAAATAGGTTGGTATTCATGAAATCCTGATATTGAAAAAAATTGATATTACTTTTGGGACAATAATGCCCTTTATTAGATGCTTTCTTCCTCCACGCATCTGTCCCTATTATTGTTTCTCTTTTCCGTTTTGTTTCATAAAACAATGAGATAAAGTTGAAGTTTTTCTTTTTCTTTCGGATATTTTTAACTATCAAGAGGATGATTATAACAATGAAAACATAATAGAAATTCAATAAATTTTGCTAAGAAGTTCACCTCCAGAACCACGACTCTTGCTCATGAAGCTTCATCTTTAGAAATACATTGCACTCTCTTCTCAAAATCATCTCCACCAGATCTAAATATCACATTCCAGATTCGTGAAATAATCTCCTTGCGCTTCTTTTTTCCGTTCTTTTTATCATTGGTACTCGTCTTTCTCCATTTCGATTAGGACAAAAAAATCTTGATTTCCATTTCTGGGTTTGATGTTTAAGAAAATAAAGGGTAAATTTGTAAAATCATGTGACATTTTCAGTAATATTTAACAATCAACCAAATATAGAATCAGTAAATTTTAACCAATATTCTCGGTAATATTTTTGCCTATCAAACAATTTTTTGGTCACATTTCCATAAAATTTACATTTCTAACATATTTCAAGTAATCATGATTTATGGACACAATTTTTTTTTTCTCTTACCAAATGCCCTTAAAAATGTACGAAGATACACCACACCGGATGGATGTCTGACGATGAGACATCCAATGACAAAAGTTTCTGTGTATGGTTTAGCCTGGAGTTGTATGGGGATAAGTCATGAAAAATTACATAAGGAAACATTGGATGGGGACATCCAACGACAAAAGTTTCTTGGAGGAGACATCCAATGACAAAAGCTTTCTTGTATGGTTTGGCTTGTACTTGTTTCCGCATGAGCCAAGAAAAATACGTAAGGATGAACTCATGAACCACATTGGATCCAATGGCAAAAGCTTCCTTGTGCGGCTTTGGCAATAGCTATTCGCGACGTTTTGTTTGGATTTTTTTTTTTTTTTTTTGGTAATCTTGTTTGGATTTTAACTATGGAATGAAATTGAGTAGGATAGAATAGAATAAATGACATGCAATGAAATAAATTTGTTGTATAATTATTTAAATATTTTACATTAAAATGGAAGAAAGTTTCTATTTTATTATTTGAAAAGTAAAAGAAATAATAATAAATAGATTCTATTTTTTATTTTTAAATTGAAAAAAAGAATATTTATTAAATTATATTTCTTCAACTCAGTAAATCATATTTGTAATCCCCCTGTTTTAGCCTTAAAAAGCTTGTAAATTTAGTATATTGTTGTGACTTTGACAAGTGCACTGATCGTACAAGTAATATAGTGAAAATGAGTGGAGTTGATGTTCCCACGAGGATTGATTTATCAAGCAATAACATATTTATATAACCAAAGTTGGATCGATCTTAGGAGTAGGGTTGAAAGTGGACTGAGTTGGGCCGAGCTTTGCCCCGAAAAGCCTAAGCCTATGCTAAAAAATTTCAATTTGGCTTGACTCGAGCCTAGTACTAGTCTAACTATTAGCTTGGCTTGGCCCGTTTATAAAAAAACAAATGGTCTGGCTTGTCCCGTCAGTCTGTTAATTTTTAACTTATAAGCAAAATCATGAATCAACTTCACAAAATACTCAAATTCTGTTGCTAAAACAAAAATCACAATTTCAACGTCTAAACAGAACCATGAATCACAATAAAAATCATCACAATATGCATTTAAGTCACTTTTAAAAGCAAAATGCTCAAACTAAATAACATATATTTTATCAGATCCAATTAACAAATCTATACTACGTAAATTAAAATAACTACATAAATCCAACAAACACATCATGATGCTTGTAGTAGCCAAAAACTTCTCTTCATCTTCTCTCCCCTACAAATACAATTCCAAGATTACATAAGTTGGTAAACAATTTGTAAATGTAGAAAACAAAAAACAAGAA